TTTATTAATTAAAAAATTTCTGCAGTAAAATAGGAAATGAAAAATATTTAAAATAATTATAATAATAGATTGTTACGGAATTACAAATAAAAATAAATAACAGATATACATATATAACAAAACAGATGACGAGTATTTCTTATATAAAATTTTTAATATTTAAAATATTTATATTATATCTTTATTTCTAAGACGTGTAATCATATCTGAAATCTACTTTCCTATTACAACTAGAACTGGCTTAAGAAAATTTATAATAAAATGCCCAATTCATCTAAATCAGATAAAAAGTTTTTGTAAGTATTTATTTAGTCCAATAATTTAGTAGTACAATATATTGGAGCAATATATTTTATATTTAGACCAGCGTTATCAAATTGAATCAGCATATAATTCTGTATCTTGCAGAGATCTCACATCGTCATTGATCTATCATCTATTTTAAGGCTTATAAATATAATTGTTTATTACGTTTTAGAGAGGTATATGATGAAAGTTGTATTTACTGAAGGACCAACGCAGGGTATTTAAAAAAGTTTATACATATTGATATCTTTTCACTGTTATGAAAAATCCTAATTTACAAATAGATTTTTACTTAGAGAGTCACTTAAATAGTAAAAAGTGATAAAAAACCTGGAACTTGAGGCAGCCTTGGCTATTTGTTGAAAAACACGATTAGTTATCTCCTCTAATTTGACAAGTACGAGTTCTAAGTCTGGCACTTGCAGTTAAAACAAATTATATACGAACTATAATCTAATTAAAAAATTTGAATATTTTCTAAGACCACTAATGATGAGTACTTGGCAAAAGTCAAAACAGCTTTGTATGATCAACCAAACCTCAATAAATTAACTGATTTTTTGTGCTTCATAAAAAGCGTAGCTTTCGGCAAAAAAATTCTACTTTATAGTAAGTTTAGTTTTGAAAAAAAATTATAATTTCGATTTATTATAATAAACGAAACGAATACAAAAAGGCTGTTTGATATTGTAATAAATGTAAATTCATTCTAATTTAGATATAGTGACAGACCATCTCGCAAAAATTTTAGCTCATTTAGATCTTGAAATGGATCCATTGTAATAATTCATATTTAATAGAAAAACAATCGTACTCATAGTATCCAAGTGCTTGAGTATGCAAAATATTTTATATAAAATTGCATCATTATAAAATAATGTAATCTATGATATCACAACTATGAAGATAACTTAAAGTGCTTATTTCGCACAAAGCCCCACGTACGCCTTGCGAGCAGTATATATGCAGTAGAAATATATGTATGTATTTAACAAATATTTTATGCAGATAGTTGCAAGTGTTCATTACATAGTGTATGTTTAGGAAATAGTTGTAGAATACAATGGAAGTGATTTCCTTTCATGAATATATTTATGGGATAACTTGCAATTATCTAACATAAGTGTAGGCATTTTACGCTATAATCATACCAAATTGGTCTGTTCAATAAAGGATAGTAGAGAAGCCAAATTCATTTAAATTGTAATAAATGTAGTATTATGACATGACTGCAACAATAATTGTATACAATACCACTTCTTATGCTGACAATATGGTGATAGATCCATTACTAACTCTATTTACTAAGGTATTGATATATGTGTACAAGATCACTCCTTATGATGACCATACGGTGTTTTATTCAATACTAATGAATATGTATCTCTATTATTGGAGATATTTAAGTTTATGTACAAGATTACTTCTTATGCTGACCATATGGTTATAGATCCCTTACTTATGAAAGTGTAGCTCGATTAGCTGAGATACTGAAGTTTGTGTACAAGATCACTCGTTATGATGACCATATGGTGTTAGATTCATTGCTAATAAAACTGTAACTATATTTATGGAGATTTTAAAGTGTGTGTACAAGATTACTTCTTATGCTGACCATATGATTATAGATCCAACTCTAAGTACAATATATTGAAAGGGGCACTGAAATGTAAATACATGATTACTCTTCAAACAAACAGTAATATATATGCTTTATATATATAAATTTTACTAAACATGCAATGGAAAATTAAAACATTTATTAGTAATTTGTTTAAAATTACTAAAAGGTATAAAAAATAATATTTAAGTTAACAAAAAAAAATTTTGAATCAATTTTACGCCTGTGTGATCTTTACGTGTAACATTCAGTTTGCCTTCTGATGATATCACATGATTTTGAATAATATATTATATGAAAATGTGCCAAAAAATGCTTAAATATATTATTTGACGTTCATATATATTGTAGTTTTTCAGTTTTTATATACATTATACTACAATGTAGGTAAATACAACTATTGTATGTGAGTGGAACTACAACTAAAGTAAAAAATAAATAAATAAACAAATGACGCAAACACGTGCCTTTATTCTTATTTATTATACAAAAATGTTTTAGTGTAAATTTTTTTTTTTTTATTCTTATTTAAATAGCAAATATAAACAATTTTTAATACAAAAAAAAAAAAAATAAAATAGAATTTTACACTTTGTGTTCCCCGATACTATATATCAGTGTTAATACTGGTATATATTGGAAAAATTCGGTTTTTTTATTTTTACAAAAATTTAATTTATTTTTTGTTATATTAAATAACATTTGAGATCGTAAACTAAGATATCATGTATTGAAACATTTTAAAGCTAATATATATGTCACCAGAACAACCTGTTTAATTTTAAAAATTATCCAATTTAATTTCTTTAAAATAAAAAAACTCAAAAATACAATATGAAGTGTATTATAAATAGTTTATCTGTTTTCTATATAAAGCCATATCTAATAATATATCAGAATATCCCATATATGAAGCGTTTTCCAAAGCAAAGGTCAGGTTGGGTTAAATTGGAGTCGCGTACACAAAAGCGCAATTGAGCTCAAATAATGGCTTGCTTTGATGCCACGGATTAGTATTGTTTATATGAACCCCAAAAAAAAGAACCAGAAGAACTTCCAAGTGGAGAATCAGAAAATCTCCCAAAAAGACCACAATAGTCAGCGTACAAGCAGCATTGAAAGGCATAGGTCTCCCATTCAAATAAAAGTTAACCAACCTGAGAAGCCTATAAACTTGGCTCGTCTATCAGATCGGTACAAAAAGGGACCAAAACGTTTTTATTTTCCATTTGCCAAAATTTACAGTTACTATTGATATTACTTAGTGGCCCTTTTTATATAATTTAATATTTTTCAAATATATAAATAAAAGTCAAATATTATTCTATCTCCGTTTTTCTATAACTCCAGTCCTAATCGTTAAAATGTTATGAAATCTTAACAGTACATGCATGAAGGATCTTGTAATAATATGATTATATTTTATTTGGTCGTTAGAATTTTTGTATAAGTAAAACAACTTCCAAATTTTGTAATACTTTACAATTTTGTGAATGGAGGATCAATGCATCTAAATACTTATAGATTGGTTTAATATAAGTATTTATATATAATAAGTCCTATTTATTTTGGATTACACAATATATATATATATGTATATAATATATATAATTTTTAAAAATGCTTGAGGATGGAGAAAACAATTGAAAATATATATAAGGAGCTGAAATATAAGATAACACTGCAATATTAATACCTGATAAAACCACAAAATAAAAAAAATTGTTTTTACTAATTATGCTATTAGACCGAGTATCAACTCAGTGTAAGTCTCAACTAACTCGGTTGATTGTCAGTGATTGAGCAGTGATTATCACCTGAACCTATCACCTATCCATTGTAGATGAAAATATCATCTACCATATATTACGTTGTTGGAAACTGAATCAAAACTGGAACGTTTTCTATGTACTACAAAGCGTAACCAAAGAATTTTTACTAAAAATAGACTAAATTGTTATTGGACTAAATTGTGATTTTTTATTTAAATTTATTGTTAATAGTTTCGTTTAACTTATATTACTTCCATAAAAAAATATATACCAAGTATACATACCACTAATAAAAAAACGTGGTTATTCACGTGATGATCAATAACGATAGTAGGTATTTTCATAATTTATTAATTAATTTCTCTTATTTTAATGTCTAAGTACAAACATACTTAATAGATTTTGTATTATTTTTTCATAAAAAAATATTTTATGTCACAAAATATTATATTGTATTTATTTTCCATGAACGAATATTGATAACATCGATAACACCATTTTTTTTTTGGGTACTGTATTTGCTATTAAAAAGTACAGACAACTTGGGAGTCAAATCTATATAGCTTAGCAGACAAAAATGTGTGATAGTAAATTAATCAATTTAAAGACTACCAAAATATGTAATAGCATTTTTATGAATCAATTAATTAGAAAGCTTAAACATAAAATATTTTATAAAAAATAATTTATCGATAAGGCTATAAAACGTTAAATGTAAATTGACTGAAATGTATCCTATGATTCCTAATGCGAAATGATTCCTAATAATAGAAATAGTAAAAAGAATGGAACCTGAATAATTCAGTGCTTGAACCCATTTTGTTATGATTTGACCCTCTCTTTTTTGAAAATCCATTCAAACAAAAATACAACAAAACAAATTAAGAACTGCTTACAGCGATACGTACTGTCACTACTGTTCCACAGGTAACAATTATCAAATTTACCCCAGTCACTCTAATTTCCGAGATCAATTTTCTCCCTTTAACTACAAAATTCTTCCTCACATTACAGAACACTGAGTTAAGCAACTGTTTTGCTTGTTTGTTATTATATATTATAGCTTAGGGTATATGGATATTAAGACCCAAACAGATCTTTTGTTTGTATAAACGATACGATTTTAAAGGATTCAACGGAAATAGAGTATTATGTAACTTAATCTACATTGTGTTTATTATAAAAATTCTGTACGAATTAATATTTTTATCTCTTCTTATACATACAAATATACCCATTATTATTTTAAAAACTTCGCTATCTAATATCACATATTAATTCTATAATCTAATTTTTTTCAGGCAATGGTGTTGTCATTCACTTGCCCTCACTATTTGAGGAGTTATCGAAAAATGAGGCTAAAGGCCTGCAAAAAATTGAACATCGTCTAATAATTTCGGATCGCGCACATTTAGTGTTTGACTTCCATCAACATGTCGATGGCATGCAAGAAGCAGAAAAGGGTGGAAAATCTCTTGGAACCACTAAGAAAGGTATTGGTCCAGCATACTCCAGTAAAGCTACACGCAATGGCATACGCGTGGGAGAGTTATTAGGTGACTTTAATTTATTCACCGAGAAGTACGTTTAAACTGAAATAAATCGTTTATTAAAATTAAACAATGCAACAATTAATGTTTTTGTTTCCTTACAGATTCAAAACCATTGTCGCAACGCACGTACGTCTCTTTCCTAGCATTAATGTAGACGTCGAAGCAGAATTAAAAAAATATGAGGACTACAGAGAACGTGTGAGGCCGTATGTTAAGGATACCATTTGCTTTTTGCACACTGCGCTACGTCAAGGAAAAACTATTTTAGTGGAAGGCGCTAATGCAGCGATGTTGGATATTGACTTTGGAACCTATCCATATGTGACTAGTAGCAATTGCAGTATAGGTGGTGTGCTTACCGGCTTAGGTTTACCACCTCAAACTATTGGTGAAGTAATAGGAGTTGTGAAAGCGTATACGACGCGTGTAGGTGATGGACCATTCCCCACCGAACAATTAAATGTAATTATTACTTTAAACCTAAACATTTTTTTAAATGTTTAATAATTATTTAAAATTCTATTTGTAGGAATTTGGTGAATTATTGCAAACGCGTGGTTTCGAAGTTGGTGTGACCACAAAAAGAAAACGTCGTTGCGGTTGGTTAGATATTCCTTTGCTTAAATATACCTCATTAGTTAACGGCTATACATGCATTTGTATAACAAAATTGGACATACTTGATACTTTGTCCGAAATTAAAGTAGCCGTGGCGTAAGTGCTTGAATTTAAATATTGCATATAAGTACAATTTTTAATTTATTTTATATATTTATATATAGTTACAAGCGTCCCAATGGTGAAATATTGGACCATTTTCCCGGCACTGTAGCTGAATTGAGCACAATTGAAGCTGAATATGCTATACTGCCAGGCTGGCAAACTTGTACAGAAAATATACGTGATTTTAAGGAGTTGCCAGAAAACGCACAAAAATATATACGCTTCCTAGAAAACGAACTGAAAGTACCAGTCAGATGGGTCGGTGTTGGAAAGGGACGTGAATCAATTATAAATATACATTAACCTATTTCATTGAACACATTTTTGGAAATATTGTATATTTTTTACTAAATATTTTAATGGACACAAACTTTACTTCATATATGTACTTCAATTATATTTTAGATTCATAATATTATTATACTAATCAAAAACTTTATTTTTAACAATTTAAATAACTATAATTATAAAAATATTCTTTTTGACCACTTTGCAATAATTTCATATATGTGAGTTTAATATAATTTTTAAGTATTTTCTTTGTTGCTTAGCAGTTTTATATATAATATATTTTATTTTTGTGCTTATTTTTGTGTGTATGTAATTTAATATAAGAAATATTTTATTTCCAAACTTTAAATTTAGTAAAATAGTCTGAATTAAAAAAATGTTTGTTTCTATATATTTAAAAGAGAATTGTAGTAAAAATAAACAAAATTATTGTAATGACACCAATTTAAAATGTATAATTTATAATTGAAAGCCATCAATAAGAGAGGCAAGCTTTGTTTTAATTTTAAACAACTAATTTAAAAAATAAAAATTTTGACAAAAAAAGAAACAGTTTATTGGTACTTATTTTAAGACACCTTTAATGAACATTGATATATTGAGAAAAAAAACACAAAATATTAAAATTAGTTATAACAAAACAGTAGCAATTTTTTTTTATTAAAACGCAAGATAACTTCAAATTTATTTATTGAAGAGTTACAAAGAACTATTAATGTTAATGGAACATACACCTACATATATTAAATATATTTGAAGCTTTTTATATAAAGTTTTTAGATGAATTTAACAGTAATACAACAATACAAGCCTTAATTTTATACATTATTATATGCAAACTTATTTATTTGAGAAAAATATTCAATGCAATCAATACATAAGATTTTGTTATGTATAAAATTGTAATATTCAGAATAGTGTTTAAATAAAATACAAAATGTTTATAATATATTGTGTATAACTTCTAGTTTCATTAAAACTTGAATAAAATAACAGGATTGTTAAAATATTCATGTAACATTCTTCCATATTCGTATACATATAATTCTAATGAAACCTGAGTGTTAAACAAAAAATCTCCTTTGTTTCTAATCAATATGTAGTAGTTTATTGTGTGAAGATAGTTAAACCACAGTCAGTCCTATAGAAAAACAGATCATATATTGTATTTACAAACATATATAACTTATCAATTAAGCGGTATAATTTAATGTAGCCATGTTCAGCTCTCTAATTCTACATCTATTCCAATATAAGCTAATCTGTTTTAAAACTAAAAAAATATAATTCATACAATAATTAATTGCATTTCTACTCGATATAATATATTCTAAAAATTAGGTAATTAATTTTTTCTGATTTGAATTTATTTATATTATAAATTTATAAATAATATTGATACCAATTTCTGTAGATATTTGGATGTAGCTTATATACATAATAATGACTCAAACATATTAGTATCTAAAACAAATATTTTTTTTTGCATTGATTAATATAATTTGTATATTGTATAAATATAAAAAATGAAAGATGCGTTTATATAAGTTATTTTTAACATAGAAATTTTTATATGAAAATTGCATCAATACATTTTCGCAGAATTTAATTGTTGATTGTTGATTAACATTATTTTATCAGAAATGTAGTCGAAAATATACCTTCAACAGATACTTATAGAAATAGCTAACTATACTTGCTGAGAATTATAAATATAGTTACGAATTATATTAAATTATATAAAACTGAGTTACGAATACAGTTCTCAGCGAGTATGGTTAGATATTTCATTAAGTGTCTGTTGAAGACAAAAGATTCTATGCTCAATACTATTTGCTGTTAATATCTTCTATCTTTACAACTTTAATATTTGCCCTTGAATGACTATTTGTAATAGTCTTCATTTTATTATTTGGAAATTGGTTATTGTTTAGTCACACCTTTCTAATCTAATACATTAATACAAGGAACAGTTCCCAACTTGGGTTTTTTCAGATCTTCTGGTCTGAAATTTATGTCATCAATAGGAATAAAATTCAAATTTTTCATTTCTGGTATTTAAAAAAACTGTAGTGATCTCTAATGTGTATGAACTGACTCTAACACAACACTTAGTCTAACGTAGTTTGAAAGATCATTTTTTTTATAAGATGTAAAATAAACAATAGTGTCATCTATATGAAATATATATTAAAGCAATTGAACATGTTTTAGACTGCACATATCAAAAGATTTTTTTAATAAAAGTAGATTTTATTGAAATAATATCCACAAATGAAATCATTGACATTAGTATGTGATATATTACTCTCTATATTATTGAACCTTCCGTAATGGCTTCCGTTTATGGAAACCGAAAATGTTTCAGATATTTTTTATTCTCATATAACTTTGGGCAACATTTCACAAAATACTTAACGTTTAGATAAATTCAATAAAAATTATGAACACATATTTCCATAAATTTTTTTTTAAAAGCTATACATTATAATATTTTTGCCTATTGTTTTAGATCTTAATATGCATACTATAGATACATTGTTCAGCAGAGCCTTTTGTATATTATATTTTATTTATATGTATTTATATATTTTATTTTATTTTATTTTATTTATATATATTTATATATTTTACTTTATTTATATATATTTTATAGCAAGAACTCCCAATGAATAGCATTATAAGCTTTGCCAAAGGTGCTAAGAGCCTATAGGCTAAGTGGATTCGTTGGAATTAGCAACTTAGGCCTACCAGTCTATATATTCTACATATGTATGTATCTAAATGCACAATAATTTTTTTTTTTTTTGAAATATAAAATAACTTTTTAGATATCAATTGTATGTCTTTCGCATATACAAAATAATTAAGCGATATCATAACAAAAAAAATTTTTTTAAATAATAAAATATCAATATTTGCATAACATACATGTATATACATGTATAGCATATGTATATGTGTATGTATGTATGTACAGATGTATATATGATAAATATATATATACATTTCGATAGTGTTTTATAACATATGGTTTTAGTTATGTTAATATTTATTTAATTTTAATTATTATTTGTTTCGGCGGTTTCATTACAGAAATAGCATATTATAAATAATTAATGTATATAAAATGTTAAATATTAGTTGAATTGCATTTATTGCAGTCAACTTATATACGACAAACCGCACTTCTCAACATAGTCTCAAAGACATCTTACTTACTTCTGTGGATAACAAAATGTATAAAAATTACGAAATATTATAAATCACTTTATGTAAATCATTGGAGATATTTTTTGCTGCAATAGATTGATGTTCTTAAAGATATCGATATACTTTATTTTATTTATTGATTTAATTAATTGCATATATATAATAATTAGAAGGTTTAATAACCTTATAAAATTCTATAATATATTATATTATGATTTATACTTATGTATAAATATAATCGATAAAGTCACATATATATGTCATTATTGTTATAACAATGACTACGCACAAAATGCATATGCATAAGATTAGGAATGAAATCAATCCATTTATAAATAATTAAGCTTAGTTTTTTCTGATCTCTATCTAAACAATGCAATTTAATCCATAATTATTATGTTTATCTCATAGATTAAACTCTTTCGTAACCCCAGTTTTATGTCCATTTAAACTCAGTGCATTAAGTGATTATGTTGTTCGTTTTTTTTCTTATAAGTATCGAAACTATCTCAAGCAGGGATACTTCTATTAAGCGTTCTCGAACCATTTTGATTATAGTCGGATTTTATATTATTTTAATACCATTTAATAACCATAATTAAACAACTATATTAGGTTTTTCTTTATAGACAATAGAACGGTGCTTTTAATTGATCTCTCTGCCAGTTGTTATCAACGAAACCCAAAAATAGTATGAGACCTTCCAAATACAATATTTTCCAACATAAAAAATAATCGTGAATAATAACGAGACTCAAGCAATTTATTTGTCACTGAAACCTTAGCCTTGTAAAATTTGGCTTTATGCTTGACCATACAATAATATTCTATACTGGACAGAACTAATTTATTAATAACTAAATTATAGATATTCAGAGACCACAAGTTCTGCAAATTAAATATTGATCATAAAAATTTGTTCTACTGGTAATTTGCTCCAAACGTTCTGTGAATTTTCTGCAAGGTGACTGTAGTGAATATAGACGGCATTCAAAATAGTACGCTAATATAGACTGAAATCTTTAATATAAAATATTTAGTTACTGCATAAAATCATATAAAAGACAAATCATGCCAACTTCTAATCTATTTCTTGAGGTCGCTTTATATAGGACGATAAGATTGACTGAAATCATTACGAAAATGTAATGTGGTACTGCTCAAAGCCATATGAGAGATACAGGAATCGAAAAATCCATGTGTAATTCTTTTATATATCTTGCTATATACTTAAATTATAAAACAACTTAAAAAGCTATTAAAATTCTAGTATTTTATCCCTTTAGTCATAAGAAAATAATTATTCCCAAAAAACTGAATAATTACACTAACTACAAAAACAGCTATATATTAATTAACAGCTATTATAAATAATAAACTTCGGATAGTTATGTTTATATAGCAGTACTATGATTCAGTTTATCGAGTAAACTTACTTTGGTCTATTTAGAAGAAGTATATGTGTTAAATTTAATAAATATATTTTAATAATTGAGATACTAAGCTATGTGAATCTGTCGGGCTGTAACGCATATTACTATTGGTCGCTAGAGATACTAAACAGAGTTAGACCTCTATGTAAACATTAAAAAAAAAAAAAAAATAAAACAAACATCGAAAAAAAATTGAAATAAATAAAAAAAAATTTAAATTAAATCTATGAAATATGCATAACTTGTGCAATAAGTGTAGATAATATAAATAATATAAAACTTGAAACAAAACTTCGAAATAAATCGAAAAATAACACATAATTTATATTATAACTATAAGTATAATAAAATAAAAATAAATTTATATAAATGATGTATCATAGATATATTAATATTATAAATCGAAAAATTATATATAATTTATAAGTATATATAGTTTTTAAGTATAAAGAATATCAAAATTGATTTAAATAAATAACATTTAGAAATATATCTATAAATAATGTATCATAAACATATTAATATTATAAATCGAAAAATTATATATAATTTATAAGTATAATATAATAAAGAATTTCAAAATTGATTCAAATAAAAAACATTTAAAAATAAATCTATAAATAATGTATCAGAAATATATTAATATTATAAATCTAAAAATTATATATAATTTATAAATATATATATAATAAATAATATTAAAAATGAATGAAACAAGTAACATTTAAAATTAAATCTATAAATTAGGTACCATAAATATATTAATATTATAAGTATAAATATAATAAATAATACAAAATTAACATATATAAATAAAACAATGCAATAAATAATGTGTAATTTATATAAGCATAATTATTAAATATCATCAAATCAATATAAATAATAATAAATCTAGAATCTCTAATTTTGAACAATGTTTCAGTCATGGTTACAATTTAAGTACATCAGAACCCTTATTTTAAATAAATTATTTATTAATAATCACACCTATCCATATGTTTATTATTTTAATAATCATAAAATATTTGCAGTAAAAAAATGAATTTATAAAAATATATATTTTATTGATTTTCATAGATTCTTTCTTAAGCTGATCCTCAATTCACGTGAGTGGTTTTAACAGCAAAGTTCACTTTACACACGTTTTCAGTGTTGACGCAATGCTTAAAAACATTTATTACAACAATTCTTATTAAGAATATTTATAAAAAATATGTATTTTAAATATGTATTTTGCTGTAAAAAAAAAATAGGTTACAAGTAAATGAAAGTTGTTTTTTTTTACTCGAATTTCTTTTCGCTTTTATAGCTCAATTGTGTTCTTTTACTAAAACAATTCATGTGTAATAAACTTTTAAATAACGGAGGATATTATTTTATATTCTATTTTACACTTTGTTTTTAATTTTTGGGTCAATAAACTTTCATGGAAAATTTTTTAAACTATTAAAAACGTTTTTTTATATCTCAAAATTCAAATTTTCCTACACACATTTCATCATCAATACTGAATTCCAAAATTCATGAAGTTATTTATTAACTATAAAAATATCCAACTAAAACAGCATAGCTATATATTAGTACATTTATAAACTGATTTTTATTACACATTTTAAAAAGCGAATCAACCTGTTATTTGAAACACTGCACCTAAAAACAACAACAACAAATTACACTTCACTTACAGTTACAGAAACTTGAAAAAGGAAGGCAAACACTAAATGCACAAACACACGAAGGCATATAGAACCGCCAAAAATAATAACCTTGAACAATTCATGTTTTGTTGTTGTTTTTGAAAAAATGGCAGGCTCAAGTAGAACGCACAAAAACCGATACAAATAAAAAACAAGAAAAGAGAGCAGAAATATACATAATTAAAATAAAATTAAGCAAAAATTTACAAATGAAAAATTTAAAAAGAAAAATTCCTAAATTTATTCTATTAAATGAAAAATATATTTTACGTGTTTTCTTTCAGGTTTTATTAAAAGTTCAATCGAGAGTACAATGTTGTTCTGTATGTATATTTTTGAAATTTTTTGGATGTTATTCATTAAGTTTAAAACATAAAAACACGTTATTTTAGTAAAGTCTAAATATACAATCTATTATTTCATTTGAAAGTTCCAAAATTCATAGAAATTGATTCAATTGCAGAAATTTTTTTGAAAAATTTTAGTTTGCTTAATAGCGAATACTTTTTATTAGTAAGCCATTTTTTACTTGCTAACATTGCCCTCCTCGTTCGCTGAGTTATTAAGTTCATTGTTGGTACCGGGTTCCGTAGAGTTAAGGCCAATGTTAGCTACGTATAATGCTGGATCAATAATTTTCGGTATAGGTTTAATTTCGGTGCCCAGTTCTTTCTCAATTCTATGCAGATCGAACCTGTCGTCGTAGGTTATCAAATTGATGGCAATACCTAAATGGCCGAATCTTCCTGAACGACCTATACGATGTAAATACGTTTCAGCCATACGTGGAAAATCAAAATTGATAACAACATTAACGGCTTGTACATCAATACCTCGCGTAAATAAGTCCGAACACACAAGATTTCTGCATAAACCCTGTCGAAAATCATGAAATACTCGATTCCTGTGAGCTTGCGCCATTTTAGCATGTATATAATAACAACAGTATCCGAGTTCCGTTATTTTTTTAGCAAGCAGTTCCACGCGTTGCGTCGAGTTACAGAATATTATCGATTGATTTATTTGTAATTTTGAAAATAATGTATTAAGGCAATGTACTTTCTGGCGTTCTTGCACAAAAGCATAGTATTGCGTTACGCCTTTAAGAGTCAGCTCTTCCATTAAATTTATTTCGTAAGGTTCGCGCAAATGTTTTTCCATAAAATTTTTAACAGTCAAAGGAAATGTTGCGGAAAATAGTAGAATTTGCGGATTCTTCGGCAATTTTAAAATAACATGATCCAGCATGCCTTGGAAATCCTGTGATAAAAGTTTGTCGGCTTCATCTAAAACAAGCACTTTACAATGCGACATATTGGCCACTTTTTTATCCATCAAATCCAGTATGCGGCCAGGCGTTGCAATGATCAATTGTACTTTTTGGTATATACGTAAGATGTCATCCTTCAATATTGTACCACCAGTTGTCACCATTACTCTTATGTCCAAATGTTTTGCGAGTTCTATGCAGATCTGTGAAGTTTGTAAGGCAAGTTCTCTTGTTGGCACCATTACTAATGCTTGTATATAATCTTTTGTAGGGTCTATTTGTTCTAGAACGGGGATGCAATATGCACCAGTTTTGCCCGTTCCATTTTTCGCTCGAGCTAATACATCCTTACCGCTTAGCGCTATAGGAATCGCTGCTTCTTGAATCGGTGATGGACGTTCCCAGCCTTTCTCAAAAATGCCCATCAGCAGTTCTCTTTTTAAGCAAAATTCTTCAAATTCGTTTCCCCGAGTGTCGGTGACATCACTCGTTTTAAAGCGTGTGTCTTTTGGAGGAATCTTCAATTTTGATTTCCATCTCATGTCGTCTCCTGTCGCAACCATTTGATGATCTTTGGTCATACTTTGTTTTAAAATTGTTGCGAACTGTTTTAAGTTTTTTTAAATCTAAAATTCTTTACTTCAACCTTGAAGATTTACCGCAATCACAGTTTAAACAGTTATATATAAAAGAAGTTTTTTAAAGTGCGCTTAACTTTACAGTTCGTGGTGTTTGATCTAAAAATGAATAGCGTAAATATCAAAATGGAAGATTTGACAATCAGGGTTTCTGTGTTTTGTGTAAAATTGTACGTAGTGGCCGAAAAAAAAGAGGAATTATATTAGCAAATTATTTCGCAAATCATTAACAACTGCAGTAACCAGTAAAATTAATTGTTTATGATAATATTGTTCCACGAGTATTTTAAACTACTTCCGAATTGACTATAGAAATATATTTTAAGCGCTCACAAATTTTAATACCAATTTATGCTGTATAACCAACACAATGCTCGAGCAATACTGTTTGTATTTTTTTACACGAAATTTACCGACTGCCGGTACAACGGGATATTCTTTATATATGCTAAATTATACTTTTTAACTTTTAATAAATATATACGAAGATTGTTTATAAGTTCTATATTTTGTTTGATAAATATTAACAATTTCCAAGCACAATTTACGAGATATGTTTCTAATTTTTTTCTATTTTCAATTTTAGTAGCAGCAAATTGCGATTCACGGATTGTAGAGTTGTTATTGTATTGACATCTCCGTTAGTTATCGCCATTTTAAAATTCCCTATATATTGTTAGTGTTGCTGTTTTGTTCAACTTTAAGAATGGTTTAATATAAAATAAGCGACATTAATTTAATAAAACTATGTAATTCAATAATTTATAAATAATCAATACTACATGCTTTCATATTTTACATACTTTATGATATAGTATAAATTTAATCAACATTTTTGATTTATTGCTCTATGGTAGTATATTTACCACAATTTAAACTTGATAACAAAAAATTTGATGGTTGGGTCGATTCAAAATGTTTGTATAAAGAATATTTACAGATGTTTAAAATATTTGTTTGTTTTAAATTGCAGAAATAACAATAGATATTTATAAACTAAAACCTCTGTAATTTTGGACAAAAATATCTTAGAGATTTTTATTCTATAGTAGCATACATATTATATTTTTTCATTAACAAACACTGACTCCAACACTGTATTCTTAATATCAATTAGTACTTTGCTTTTGTTTAATTTAAGATATATGAATGAACTGCTGGCCAAAATGAAGTAAAGATGTTTCTTTGATATTTACCACGACTTAAATTTAATGGAGTGATTTATATACAGTTAAACATTTTCAATATATAACTTAAAGATAATCATGTTATATACAAATACGACTTTTTCATTTAACAAACATCTATTACGCTTTCAGCAATATCAGCCGTAAGTTTTTCTTTCTGAGTTGTAATAAAACAGCATTAAGTCTGGTTGAAACAAATTGACTTAATTTTTGAAATGTAGCCGTAATTTTTTTTCAGAGTTGTAAAAAAACAGCTTTAAGTCTGGTTGAAATAAATTCGAATCATTAGGCCTTTTTGTGTGGCTCGATGAACGATTGGCATCACTGTTGCAATCTGTCAAGTGTTATGTTTTGACAAATAGCAAATAGGAATGGTAAAAATGTTGCAAATTTCAAAATAAAACACTGAAATTTTCCTCTTTTCAATTTTCAAATTTATGAAACTTTTGAATTTTGAAGATTCACAATAGTTCGCTTTTTGCGTTGGTAACACTTTTTTTTTTACTGGCCGAAATGCTTGGCCAGTATACCTATACTGGACGAGATAGAGAAAATAGTGTTGTTGTTTTGCCATCGCTATTTTTTGCCGTACTTACGAGTCATCGAAAAGGCCTATTTTTAAAATATGTTGAATACTTATTTTTCACATTTGATTTTTGTTGTGATGTGTATAATATGATATATAAAAATTGTAAATATTAAAAATTAATTCATTTAAATAAAAGAAAACAAAATGAATATTAAAAGAACAATGGTTAGCATTTTTATCTAATATATTTCAGTTTATTTTTTTGTGTTTGAATTTATTAGTAAATAAAATGCTCATATGTAAACATTCACAATAGACTAATTTATAAATTTGGCTGCACTAAAACTTAAGACGTAAAACTTTTGCGAGTAAAACTTAACTCTGAAGATTTTAAAAGCATTGTTGTTGCTTTAAATGCTTTTATACATTTGCGTTAATATGCACTAAAACTTCAGATTATGCAAAAAAATTGATTTGCACATGTATTGAAATCCGCAAAATTTTTGGAATGTGGCATCACTAATCCAATATAAATTCATATTAAAGCATTTTGTATACTTTAATATCCCAGTATTATCACCTTAATGGGTATTTTATTTTTCTTGCTACTTTACTATTCTTTTCCTCGGTCATTTCATTTTCAACCAGTAGAACTTTTGGTTCAGCGCTGCTCAAAATAAAAAGATTTGATTAACTCGACCAAAGATTTTACATAAATATGGTATGTTTTACGTAAACATAGTTATTCTAATTCATTTTAAATAAGTGTTCTTGGTTAAGTTGATCATTAACAAGTTCCTGCATTTATTTACACGTGTTAATAAACCTAACCTAATTTATTTTAACAGGCTGGTACTAATAAAGATATCGAGAAGCCACAAGGTCCAGATGCTGCATCAGTACATCGCATCCGTATCACTTTAACTTCCAGGAATGTACGTTCTTTGGAAAATGTGTGCCGCGATTTAATCAATGGCGCCAAAAACCAGAACTTGCGCGTTAAGGTAAGCCTCAAATATAAAAGTAACACCAAAAAGACTTGCTTTTGTGTGAACTATTATTATATATTTTAGTATAGCATTTACCTGGAGGCTTTGCTTGTATTTTAGGCTCAGTCTAGTCTCAAATAAATGCTATAAAAAATTTGTTTTGAATTGGACATTATTTTTTTCTTATATGTTTTAAGTTAAAAATTTAAAAATTCAAAATACATTTTCAAATTGCTAAAGTAAACCTGATTAAAAGTAAATTTAATTATTAATTATGCGATTTATTCATTTTAGGGCCCAGTACGCATGCCAACTAAAACTTTACGTATTACAACCCGTAAAACACCTTGTGGTGAAGGTTCAAAGACTTGGGATCGTTTCCAGGTAAGATGACTGACTTTCAATAAAATCGGCAAATCGAATATCGCGCTCATAGTGACGCCAATATCTGTGCAGTATTCAATGATTTGCCAAGATTAAACGAACTCTCATAGTCCACTTTGAATTGCATAAACTTCAACGTGGCTCACAGAGCTTTACATATTATTTCCATTCATAAACTTAGCTTGAAGCATCTTTAATATATTCTTTCTATTTAATTTAGATGAGAATTCACAAACGCATTATTGATTTGCATTCGCCATCTGAAATCGTGAAGAAGATTACTTCCATCAATATTGAACCTGGTGTAGAAGTTGAAGTTACCATTGCTAACTAAGCATTTTTTTTACATTCTTAGTATGTAAAAATGAACTTTTTTTTATTAAAAAAGTAAAATTAAATTTTATTGTTTTTATTTTAATAGTTACAAGAATTGTAGTTATTTCTTCTTTGAATTGTTTTAAGGAAAATCTGGAATGTAACGTTGATTTCTGTATATATTTTTTTTTTGTACATATCAGTAATAGTCAGGCACAGGTGCACAAGCAATTTTAACAAAATCTGCATACCGGACCATGCTATTATTACCAACATTTGCTTCGCGGAATATATTGTCAACCTAATGGCAAAAGAGATATTATTATTGGAAGTTATTTGAAGTTGTCATTTTTGTTTTTATTTACCTCGCGTACAGATAACCCTTCACCCCAATTTTGAAGTAAATTTCTGAGTTGCTTTGCTGATATACAACCAGTGTTTTTAGGATCTGCTGCTTTAAAGGCTGCAATCACTTCATCAGGCAAATTTTCCACTTTGGAATGCTGATGCATGATTTCTAAAAAGTCAGCAAAACTCATTTTACCATTTTTCTTCTTTAAATATGCGATAAGTTCCTGTATAGTAGGTGATAACCCTAAAGAACGCATTATGACGGTCAATTCGTCTAAAGTAGTAATTTGGCCTGATCGTGCGAATAAGTAAAAACACTCACGAAATTCTGTAAAGATAATTTTTTACTAATGCTTTAATGTCTGTACTTAAGTGGGACGCTTTCACTTCCGGTTTTGAAAACAATGTAATTAATTAGATATAATTTTAAATGAAGCATAAACATACCGTCTATATCTTGTTCTTTAAAATAACGTGCCTTAAAAGAGATAAATTTTTATCAATACAAATGAGTAATATAACATAAATAATAATTTTATCATAATTTCACATATTTTAAAATAAAGATCCCTTCTGATTTTTGATCTACGGATATGCTTTTAATTTAGTATTATCTTAAATACTTACCATTTTAGAACTTTAAATTTATTAAAATTGTTTAACAAAATAAAAACTAATAAAAACAAAATCTAAAATTTATTACAACAAAATTCCAACAAATCGAAGTTAATAATAAAATTGGTCAAGTATGACATTCCTTAAACATTCATGAAGAGTTGCATTTGTTAATTCAACAGGTGTAATTCCAAATATTTCTTGGCACCAGCGAATGCTTGGTAATATTTTTTTACACATTAAATTGCTCTGTATAATTCTCAACTGCTTGTTATACATATAAAAAAAATGTTCATTTACAAAATGAACAATTTGTAATTTAGAAAGTGATTTTATTGTTTACTTGTTAGTTTTACTATTTTTTAAGTCAATTATGTTGTGTTAAACAAAACTAAATTTTCTTGTTACATTTGCAAATCCTATACTTGGAAATCTATTACAATTATTAAAATATATTAATCTACTTCATTACAATTTTCTTTACATGTTTACAGTAGTTCACAGTTATAGGCGTTCATAAAAATGCCGATATTTCATCAAATTTATCCGAGAAGAGCCGGATAATTTATTATTTATCAAGTATTTAACAGTAAAAACGCTTTTAAGCAGAAAGTATTTATCCGTGAACTACTTTATTTTGTTAAATTATATTAATAATTCAAATCAAATTTAAATCAAAAGGATTTCCTAAAATACTTTTCGGCAACATATATAAGTGTTTTTATGGAAACAGTAACTATAAATAATATGGAAACAGTAACTAAATAATATATCAAATGTAAATATATCAAACACATATTTGAATTATTAAATTTCATAAAATTTTAAAACCTTTTTACTTATGCATGGCATATATTTCAAAAAATTTTTTAAATTAATATTACTTTTGCCTTTGGATTGAACATACCCCACCGAATAAATTGAAAGATTGTGTACGTGTTTTTTTTTGTTGTGCATTTGACGTGTAAGTTTGATTCGTGTTCAAGTATATTAGGTTTAACAGATTGTAGGATTTTACGGGTAAAAAATTGTAGTTTATTTACGTAAATTTACAATATAAATACCATAATGAATACAAAATTTGCGATGCCGTTTAAATTTCTCTTGATTGTTATATTTTTAAATATTTGCAATGCTCAAAGAGTTGTGCCTGGTGTAAATCCGCAACACTACGTGAGTTTCTCTAATCGACTGTCAACGTATTACATTTTTATATTAAATATATATTTTATAGCAACAAGTTCCCGTGCAACAACAGCAGCAATATCAGCAACAACATCCGCCTCCACAACAATATCAACAACAACAACAAGTGCATCATGCACCTGGTGTAGCGCCGCAACATTACGTTAGTTCAAAAAAATTTTATTAATATTTTCTCTATGATTTTATATAACTAATTTTATAATACGAATTTTTTTAGCAACAACAAAATGTGCAATATCAGCAAGTGCCTGCACAACAACAGCAACAAGTACCGGTACAACAGCAACATCAACAACAACAACAACAACAACATCCACCAGCACCGCAAGTTCAACAACAAGTTCATCCAGGACAACAACAACATCATGGACATCATCCACCCCAGCAAGTTCTGAATGCTGCAAACATTGAACATGAAAGGGCGTAAGTACACATTTTTAAAAATTGTTAATAACACTTAACAATCAAAACAAAACAAAAATTTTCAAATTTCACTTTTTATTTTTGAAATTCCGATATGAAGTTTTTATCTTAAAAGTGTTTAGTTATGACCATTTTTATATTATTTTCTTTTGTATTTTAATACTATAATATTATAAATTAATAGATAGTAAATGTCCACTGATAGATTAAAATTGTCACTTTGTTATCAAAAATAATTTATTTGGATTTTGGTATTAGATTATTTTTATTTTACCAAACAAGTTTAAAAAAAAAATTCAATTTGATTATATTTATTAAAAATATTTTAATAATTAGATTATTAGAAATATTTTAATAAATTTAAATATCTTTAATTTTTAATATTTATCAAAAATCTTTTAATAATTATATAATTGAAAATATGATTTTTTAAAGAAAGTAATTTTATTGTTTACAAATAATATTTATTTATAAGTACATATTATATTTAATATGAGTTCGACAATTAAAACCAAACGAACATTATTCGATTAGTAATTCAACTTAAATTTAATTTTAATATTTTAAATACAATTCAGGATGAAAAAAACGTTTTAGTACGAACATTACTCCCACTTTGATATTATCAACTAATTTTTAATTTCAACTGAAAATTTAATTGTAAAAAAAACCGGTTAACATATAACTAGAAATAAAAAATTATAGTACATGAATTTTTATATGTAGTAGTGTTAGGTTGACAGAACCTCATAGCCTATATTAAACAGAAATAAAACAAAAAGCCTGAGCAAACCTGAAGTTTGCATACTTACTGGAGTACTAACGTGGCACTGTGCAATGCTTAACGGTGGCGTATTCCAACAAGTGGACTGTACAGGAGTTGCCATGATGATTTTTATGCTTTTGTTCGGGACTAAAGACTAAGTGACTTCAATGTCTTAGAATCCGTTTCTTAGCTTTATCTGGAAGACCAAATGGTTTAACAAAGAGATTATGGATAATATCAGGAGATAACAATTAGTGTAACTCACTTCTTCCAAGCAATTTTGTGGTCCTCACAATAAGCAATAGTGGAAGTACTGACAGTTATATCAGCACAACCTTTGGATTTTAATAAAGAACAGAGGACAAACAGTGAGACCCGGAGTGAAAGAAAAACAACATAAATGGTGACCAAAAATACGTCTTAATAATTGTATTTATACAGACAATAGCATGTCGTAAGGCATAGAGAAGAAGAAATGAGCCACATATACAAAGGAAAAGAAAGGAAAAGAGCACAGATGATGACCTATATCACGTCTTCTTAATTGCATTGTGAAGGTTTTGAATTTTTAGTGAAAAATAGAGAAGATGCAGTGAGGCAGAGAGAAGTAGGAAAAAAGCAAGCTTCCAACAACGACCGTGTCTATGTCCTGGAACCATTCAGGCTCCAGTTCAGTTCGGCCGCTAAGTGGCATTTAGCATTCCCAAAAAGGACTGCACAAGCATATCGTTCTGGGGTACAATAAAAGGAAAATAATAAAAATTAATAAATGAACCACAGTTGTCGGTCTTATTGAACATGATGATAAATTGAATTTTTCTTTTTGTTGTTAATTGTTATAACATATATAGATTATTTTATTAGTTTCTTCTTGTTCTGTATTGATTGTTTCATTTATAGATTTATTTAAAAATATATAACTTTATTATAAAATTATTTATATATTTTACAAATAAATAAGATAATGTTGCTGCTAGTTAAAAAAAAAACAATTATCTAATGTTGATGTATTTACAGGCATATCCAAGAGCATATGCAGGTCCCAATTGATACAAGTAAAATGTCGGAGGCTGAATTACAATTTCATTATTTCAAAATGCATGATTCCGATAATAATAATAAATTGGATGGTTGTGAATTAATAAAATCACTTATTCACTGGCATGGTAAGATGAACAACTTTTTAAAAGTATTTTTATTTTATTTTTTTTTTAATTGGTATAGAGGTTTTGTTAATACCCATTTTATTTGTTTTTTTTTTTCATAAAAATTTCTTCATACCATAAACTACTTATGCGGTACTGGTTTTGGTTCGGTTCATTGAATGACAAATAAAACTATTTTCATTGTGTCGTTTTCAATTAATTTGATAACCCATTAAAACTACGCTATCATATAAAATAAAATTTCAATAAATAAATGAAATAATATACATAGAACAAGGCAGCAAAGAACAACATACTGATGCCCAAAAACCACACATTGAAGAAAAGATTTTCTCTGATGAGGAATTAGTTGCTCTAATTGATCCCATTTTACAAATGGATGATACATCACGTGATGGTTTTATTGATTATCCAGAATTTATAAAAGCTCAACAAAAAGCAGCAACAAAACAGCAACAACAACAGCAGCAACAACAGCAAAACTAACAAGACGCGTAAACATTAAAAATCCCTAAAGATTTCCAATTGATCTTCTTTAATTTCATCTTGTTTTCTTTTCATCTCATCAGATAGATTTGCGTCCTTATTTCCTTAAAGGCATATGTTTTTTTTTTTTTTTAAATTGTGTTATTAAAATAATAAAATTATTTAAATTTTGTTAAAACGTGAAGTCATTCCATTTAAGTAACAAAAAATCTTCCAAATTCGAACAAATTTATAATTAAAATTTTTAAAAATTTACAAAATTATATGTTTTAATTGAAGGCGCTTTTAAGTGCACAAAAATATAACTAAACTCGAATCTCGATTTAATTATAAAACATGACATTGATTGAAATTAAAAATAATAAAAAAAGCTTTATAAATTTATAAAAAAATATGTGCTATTATTAAATTACTTGTTAAAAAAACATGGAGATTTCTATGTTTTGTATACACTCTTTTTGATGAGCTCTTTGTACATCCTAGATTTAAAGCTAATTTAATAAATAATAAAATTATATGCACTTTTCTTTTCTACTGCAAATTTCTAATATTTATTTAATGTTTATAAAATAGACATTATTTTGAAAATTTCGTATTCCAATTAACTTAAATTAGTAAAAGCTTATATGTTTAATACCATTGGAAATAAAACGACTGATGCAATCAACTAAATGTTATGTACAAATAAAAATAAAGCGAGTGTTCTGTTCGCAACACTTGTTGAAACCATTAAATAAAAATAATAGTAAATTAATTTTAATTTAATTTTTTAATCTTGCTTTTGTCTTAACGTCTTGCTTGATATTGCCGTGCATTCATTTCAAAAATGTGCGTTCGACTTTCAATTAAAGTTTAAACTTTAGCGGCTTCAATTGGTTTTGGTGAGCCAAAATGTTGTTTAGGTGTTGCATTTGTCAAAACAGAAATTTATTTAATCAATAATATTTTTGCTTACGCAGTTAAGGAAAAACCAAAACTAAATGAAACAGATGGCAACGAAGAGCACGATACCAAAATATATACCGATAAGGAATTGTCCGACGTTATTGATTATGTGCTTAATACAATGGATAAGAATAGAGACGGCTTCGTTGACTATGCGGAATATCGCGAAGGTGAAGAAAGTGCTGCTAAGGGAACAGGGCAATAAAAACGATCAATTTATTAATACTTTTTATAAATAAATGTTTGTTATAAATATAGTTGTAAATGTTTTTTTATACGTTTTGTAAAATTTTTTAATAAATTTTGATTAGTTAATTAACTAGTTTTATTTTCAATGATTTTGTATTAACAAACAGTAAATGGTAATAATTCTTTTTGTTGTAACTCGCTGGGATCTACTTGTAATATCCTTTTGATGGGTGGTGAACTGCACTTTGGTCTGGTACGTAGCCCTGGCCGGTAATAATTATTGTGATCGCTGAATCACGAGAACAGTGGAACGATATACTTTACAACAACAACTATTAGATGTTGTTTATAGCCATCTTATTATATTATATTGTTTAGTTAATGTTTTTTTATTAGACAACTCTCTCTCTGATTTTTCTCGTTGAATACAAATAAAAATAAAGTTATTTTTATTTTATCATTTACCTTATTTATTTATTTTAATATATGAAAAATAGTCTTTACGAGAGCTGCATAAATTATGCGCTTTGTTGTTGTCACAGTTCGGAGAGACCTATAGGACAAAAACCATGATTGCATTAGAAGAAGAATTCATGCGTTAGGATGGGGTATCAAAAGCTTATAAGGTATTAAAAGAAAGGATATGGATATGAATGGGATGCCAGGGTTATCCTGGTCTCCGACTCGGAGTTTCAAGGCAGAGAAACCCAGCTAATTCAGTTTCAAATCAGTTGGATTTAAATTAGTGTGTACATGAGAATTAAACAAGCCGTCGCCAGTTGGTAATGTCGATTGCTTTTATATCGTTGCAGGTTCTCTATCACGTTTTCTTACTCTAGCGGGTACCGAATCAAATAACTTTCTAGTCAGAGTATTTTTATCCACTCGTACAATATGACTAAATTAGTAAAATCGCTAAATTATATATATTATACATATTTAATAATAAGATTGAAAAACTATATTTTTAGTGCTTTGAAATGCAGAAAACTGATTATAAGCAAATTTGTTACTTCTTAATTAATATTTAAAACATAAGCTTTTAATTAGAATTCTTTATATTTTCAATTTTAAATTGTGAATAATATTAAGCTAGAAGGCAAATTTATATAAATCCAACACCTCCGACAGACGACTATCAAGTCATTGTCGTATTCTTTGTTTTTCAATATATTTTAAGTAATATATTTTTAAGTAACTCTAAACAATGTTTTTAGACTTAAAGCATAATACTTATGTTAAAAAATTTTGAAATTGAATAATAAAGAAGTATCTATTTATCTATCATATTTAATAATAATAATAAAATCCGTTCTGATAATGAGAATATTTTTAGAATCTAATTTAATTACTTTGAAATGTAAATAACGTTGAGGGTTTTTGCTACATGGAAATATATACATATATTATTATATATGTGTTTACTATTATATTTTAACAAAAGTATAGTTTCTGTTCTAGTGATTTCACGATGTCCTAGTTATCGAATCTTACGGTATAATTTAAAGAAAAACATTCAAGTTCGAGGAGAGCGACTTGTACGCATGTTCCAAAATATGCCGGCAGTTCTAGAAGAAAAATATGTTGTCAGTAGAGATAATAATAAATGCGGTGAAGATGCAAGTGTTTATCGACAGACTCACAAGAGCATAAACGGCAAGTGAACACAGTACACAGTTCGACGACTAGGAACGGTAGACAGACAGACAATCGTAAAAAATGTCAAACGGAAAGTTGTGCAATTTTGTTTAATATAAGAAATATTAAAACAGCTCCCCTGATAATATCAAAATAATTATTTAATACAGCAAAACGAATATAGAATTTATAAACAACGACACTCACTGCACCATCGATGCCAAAATGTGCGTATTTGTTTTTTTTAATTTTGTTGCGCTATTAATAATTCTATTAAAATTAAAAAAGTTTTCACATTCTTCTCAACAGAAAGAGTGTTTGTTAATAATAAAAATACTTAAATTATAGTTCATGTTGATTTGGTAACAAAATTGTATTCGAATTGTATTGTATTGAAGTGAAGTGAATTGCAAAGGAATATTTTTTTGTTTAATCAAATATTGATTTTACGTGCTCGAGCTTCACAGGAAATAGACTTGCAATTCTTGTCACAGTTGTGGTTTATTTGGTTGGTTTACGGTTTGTTTTATTGCAGTTGCTTTGTTGTTGTTGTTTTTCCCTTTGTTACTTTGAAGTGTTATACTTGGACTGAGTGGTTGGTTCATTTTACAAAAGATTCTTATTTCGCATGAGATAGGCAGCGTTCAATGACGTTTTAATCCAATAAAATTTTAGTTACAATTGTTGTTCTTCTCGTTGTTATATTGGATTTCATTTCCTATATGCATTTATAGTATATAGTATTCAGTTATATGGTATAAAATGTAGGTAAGTATAATCTATAAAAAGAGTTTTGAGTGAGTTTAGTTTCATTGTATTTTTCAAGTGCCATTTGTTTCTATCAAATATTCTTTTACGGATTTAAAAAATAGATTGATGAGAAAGTTTTTGTAAAGTTATTTAAATAAAGTTTAAAAAGTAATCACAAAATGTCACAGAATTCAAAATGCGGTTAATTGAATATAAATAAAATGATCGTTAAAAATTGAAAGACAGGTATGGTTTCTTAATTTCAAGCAATTATAAAAAGTCAAGCATCGATTATAGCAGATTCTATAGAGTTAATAGATAAATGATTTGTTTTGAACGTATTTAATGAAATAATTCAAGAGAATTAAATGCAATTTTGATTGCGTACTAAGGCCGTGTGCGAGTTCGAGTAAATTGAGGTAAAGTAAATTGAAATATTCTAGGGATTTTTTGCACTGTACTTATGTAAATATTTTTTTATATATTTATTGCACTTATTTATTATTTTTTGTTAATTTTTTAGTTTTCAACTTTATTTATTAAATATCTTATAAAATTTTCACAATGGTATCACCTAATTTATCTAATCTTTATCTAATTTACCCTTCTTGAAATTCTGGTAAATACCAACATTCGCTACCATATATATGCAGCGAATAATTCATATAAATAAATATATTCTTAACCCAATTATAAATAATAAGAAATTTAATGAATATGGTAAATAATATTTTCATGATAAATATATTCATTTATTTCCCTCAATTTACCATCAATTTACTTGAACTCGCACACGGCCTAACATGCTAAATATGCTAACGATATGTTTATTAAAAACAATTTTGTATTATTTTCAATTTGTATTATCAAAAACTCTTAAATTTTTATTTTTCATGATAAAAATAAAATATTTTTATTAAGTAAATCTTTTTGCTATGAATATTTTGATTATGAACTAACTTTGAATTGTTTATTAAAATCTAGTCAACTATATTAGCCGATCAAGTTGTGAAATAAGATTAAAATAAATCACTTCTAAACTAAGCGCAATCAAAAATAAAACATAGCTTTTCCAAGGAAAAAAAATAAAGTGATAATAACTTTGTTAAAGTACTCAACAGAAGAAACTAATATATATATATATATATTTATATATATATATACTAAGCGTAATCAAATAATATATAAAGATGAAGAAAAGATGATATATAAAGAAAATGATGCTGTATTAGATACTATGCATCCAGATCAACCATGGTCTCAGTGCTCCGCTCCGTTGGGAGCTGGTACCCTGTTTATTTCTATTCTATTCTATCCATTCATCAATTATGGTAAACGAAAACGTTATAACTAGCGGATACTGAATATTAATATGATTATAAAAAATAGCAGCTCTTAAAACATATTAAAAATAAATTGAAATATATTGAGATTTATGACGCTCATTGGGACACTTTTGGATTAGGAACTAAAATAATGTATTTTCGAAAAGAAAAAATAGTTGCAGATTAAATATTCACAAATTGTTGATATTACAAATTGGAAAAATAAATATAGAATTTAGTCAAAACGTTTTGTACTTTTTTTTTTTGGAGTTTAGAAAACTGAAGAATTAACATCATCAAAAAATATACATATAATAGTGTATTTCTAAAAACAAAAAAAAAAAATTGATGTAACGACTGAGAATTAAAAATTGAGACTCAAAGAATAGAGTGGAGTAGTAAATAATTATAAATTGGGATACTGTATATTGTATATGAATTTGTATGCCAAGAAGTATAATAAAAACTAACTATACTAAATTTCTAGGTCTAGACCTTCTAGCTCTAAAACATAATATTTACTTAAGAGCATTTTCATATTAATTGAATATATTAAAATATATTTACAATTTCTATTTCAGTGTAAAAACAAAAATATACCTCAATTTTAATTTGGAGAAAGTTTTGGATCAACCGCCAAAACGTATCAAACGCAAATGGAACGAAAAATACTATATGCCTTTCGAGGCTGGATAGCTTTTGTAGCTTTTATGGATATGGGAACAGCATTCCGTAGCTATATAGAGCGTCGTAGCTTTTTAGGTGATCACTCTGAAACACAATTTATTGAAGGTTAGTTAATACATATTAAATTTGAATATTATCTATAATAACTCTTCTAATAGGTGATTATACAATATCACGCATAATAGGCATGTATTGTTTGCTTAAAGCAGTAGCACTTGTGCATTGCACTTTATATATACATTACAGACCGTAAGTTCTTATTAACCTTTTTGAAATAATTAATAAAAAGTTTTAATTTATTGTTTTTAAATATTATCCATTAAAAAAGTGTCGTGAGTATGGGTGGTTGTGCTTTGGCTTTAACCATGGTATTGTATGTCAGCGAAACTTTGTACTTCCGTTCAAGTACACTTAATTTTTATGTGATCTTTCCATGCGTTTTGAATTGTAAGTTAATTTTTGTGAAATTAAAAAATAATTTAAATTATTGTATAATATATATTTCTAAATAGCAATTACATTAATTGGCTTAATATATATACCAAAACGTTTACGTCTCTGGGAACCAAATATGGATCTAGATGATGAAAACTCTCAACTCTTAAAGCAAATGACTGGCTTTAAACGTCGCCGAGCGAAGAATAAACAACAATAAGCTTCCAATTTTACTGGAATAGTGATATTTTTAATATAAACTCGTATATGCATTATAGACTTTTACGGCTTTCCAAAATTTAAACTTAATTTATGCTCTCTAAACGTAAATTCTTAAATTTATTATTAATGAATTACATATTTTATAGAAACTCAAGAAGTCTTTAAGAACATTGGTCAATTTCTGACATAATCATTTATTATCGTTATATATATCCTCGTTTCATAAACGATTTATTATACCAGTTTTAATATATTAAATTCTATCAAACTATCAAATATATAATTATGATAACTTAAGCATTAATATGGCTTATTTTTTTATAATATTAAAATTTAAATAAATATGAAACACATTAATAAAATACTTAGAGGCACTTTTGTAGTGGCAATTAAATTTTATAATTTTTTATTACGAATATAAAAAGTTATTTATACATTAGATTAAAAATTGTTATCGCATATTATATTAAACCAAAGCAATAGAAGTTTTAATAAATAAAATAATAAATACTAAATTTACTCATATAAAAGTAGATTTTGTTTTTTTAAACAATATTAAATCTTTCTTTTATTTTTATATACTTTAAGTGAAGAAAAGATATATAGTGTATGTGATAAAAGTGTTTTCGATGATAACCATATACCTACAGAATCCAACATAATAGGATATGAAATAAATTATTTCATTATTACATATGTTAATGAAATAAAGATTTGGTCGTTTCCATTGACATAAGCTGATTTATGCATATGAAATAGCTTGTTTGCTTATATTTTACGTATAAAACATATAAAAAATATTTTAAATTTTGGTAATTTTCTTTATGGGGAAATTTATTTTTGAAGTCGACATTTTTCACCTCATATCAGTTGATTTATTTACAATAAGCTCATTTAAGTGAAAGGAATTTGTATTGTAAATTATTCTCATTGGCGGCCTTAATGAGAAAAACTGCCTAAATGAGACAAGTGGAAACATGGTTTTACGTCTTAATAACATTACAATATTTACATTTCATTATCATTACACGTGGGTTAACGAGTTTTGCGATATTAGATTAAAATATTTACAATTCGGCAATAAAATTAAAATAGAACAAAAAAAAAAATCTGAAATGAAATGAATATAGTGTGATATTTGATTACATACTAAATGTAATTTAAAAAAACAAGAAATTCAAATACTTGTTTTTATATTTGAATATATTATTAGCACATGTAAATATGTACTAAATATTATACAGATCTCATAAATATTTTTATAGAAAAACCCAGATAGACGCGATGTGATACGTTCTCATATGTCCTACGATTACGATATAATTAACATAAGGTAACACAAACAGACCCACAAAAATCGAAAAAATTCAGAGAGTATGAAATAAAATTATCTGACAAGCTATATGCGCTCCGTGGTTTGTCAAAAATAAAAATCTACTCAAAGATCTAAATCTACCAACTGTTAAAGAAGTTATTCCCCAATATACACCTAAATTCAAGACGCATCCAAATCCTTATGTTTGACATTTATTTTTTGCAACGGCACTAAACCACCTTAAATAAAATCATTGATAAAAATTCCCAGTACTTCATGTTGTTGTTGTTGTTGTGACTCGCGGAGATCTGCTGACGTACTTTTTTTCAGGAATGTAGAATCATTTAAATTCTACTCGTCAAACTCGCACCGGGACATAGACTCTACAGTTTTTTAAAATATTTAAAGTCGCACATCACTTCAGTGCTATAACACATCTGTTTATAATAGGGGTATTCAGGCAACTGATTAGTTGCTTAGTTGATTCAAAAACTTAATATAAAAATAATTTAGCATTTTGATGTTAATTAGTTGCTTGAACGACCCAAAATGCGTAATCTGATTAGTTTGTTGTGTGTAAATGCCTTGGCAGCACTCGCATCAACAGCAAAAGCGGAACATACGTTAACAGTGAAAATTGTTTACACACAATTCAAACAGCTGAGAGAGATAGCTAACAAATTTCTATACAAAAGTTCATTTTAAGTTATTATTACGACACTTGGGACTGGCAGCACTATTAATCAAATTTGTACTAATCTGAGAATCACCGAAATAGTTGATTCCCTGCTTAGTTTCATTTTTGTGTGCAAATTTTTGTTGTAATCAACTACTAAGCAACTAATCAGTTGCCTGAATACCCCTAATATTCCATATACGCCAATGATTATATAAACCACATATCGTACGGTACCGTATCATATCATAAGGCCATACCTTATTTTCTACCTTATGTTATCATTTTATTGCAGTAGTTTGAAATTTCCAACAGGGCGTGTTTCTGATCATCTTTAACTGAACGTACACAAGAGTAAAAGTATGTACAAAAAAAGAAGTTGGCGCAAAACAAAGTGTTTGAACATTAATCATTTTTAGCATAAAAATGTATAAAAATCGCAAATTTAATAAAAATTTGAAACAAACGACAAACAATCAGACTGTTTCAAAAAGGAATTTAAATGTAATTGATGAAAATACAACAATAAAGATTGCAAAGGTAAAAATGAACTGCGGTTTATTTACACACAAATGATTTTATATTTCACAACAATATCCTGTGATTGCTTAGACAACAGATGCCTCTGGGACTTCTCACTCAAGGCGAACTAGTTTTGGTAGTAATAACGAAAATGAATTTAATGTGGATGCGTTTAATAGCGAAGAAAACATACCGGCGTCGCAGGAACCCACTCAACGTTACCTGTCCCAACGCAGTATTGCGGCGTCCTTAACGCGTACGCAATCACGCGGCAACACCACACGTCCACCAAACACTTACTTTGAAATGGTTTTAATGAAATCTGGTGCACTATTGGATGAGGGTGATAATTTTGTATTGTGTAAGTTTTGTTAAAAAAATAATGTTTATATGTGATCGCTTATTGTTTTTAATTTCTTACAGCTTGCGATCATGTTGCTTTTGTTAGTAAATTTAGAGAGATTTTAATGAAATCTCAAAACTACCCGGACAATATTGAAATGTTTAAAACTGGCTTAAGCGACGCTTTAGCCACAAAACCTAAATTAACGCAAAAGTTATTAAGTGGTTGCACAATTAATATGCCCGGTGAGGAAAGTGTCTATCAATCCCAAAATAGTATGATGGTTAATTTTTTAATGATTGGCTTTCTTTGCGATCACGTTTTGGATATACTGCTTGATAAAGCTGAAAAAATTGCTTGTGGATCGTAAGTATGATGTTATATTTAGTTAAAATGATTATTAATTAAATATTTTTTATATTTCTAGCAATAAAAATCTAACTGATAATAATGTACCACTGTTGACTTTGTTGTTGGCACAAATGAGAAACATTACACTATCCCATGGCACTGTTATCAATGAACGTATACATTCCATTTTTGAAAAAGCTAATCCCAGTGCTAGGATGGAAATAATTGCTAGTGCGGAATTTATAATCGAACCAAGCAAACATGATGAATTTGTGCAGCTGTTATTGTAAGCTTTTATTTTTCAATTTATATTAAAATTGTTAATTGTTTTTTATTTTAGAGACAATATTGCTGAAAGCAAAGATTTTTTCAATCCCGTCATTATGCAGTGTTTAATCCATTTGAACTTGACCCCTCATATGCAAGGAAAAATACGTAATAAAATTTTATCTTATATTAAAGAAAGCCAAAATCAGCATACCGTAAGTATTAAATACAATAAGAACATCAAAAACAAAATAATTTAATTATATGTCACTTAAATAGTTACATAAGTTTTAAGTCTTAAAAATAATTGGTTATATTTTTAGCTGTTACCAGTTGTTATTCAATTCTTACTAAAAATATTAAATGAAGACAATGATGAAAGTGTACGAGAAGTAAGATTTATAAATTATTTTAATTAATATATTTAAATAATGTGCGCTTAATTTTTAGCTTGTGAATACATTGAGAGAAATTTTAATATATCTTAATGATATATCTGTGATAGAAAAACATTCAGAAGTTTTTAATCATATAGAACAAGGTCTTATACGTTCCAAGAAATTTTACACACTTTGGCAGAAGAAGATTAGCGGTTTGCCTCCTGTGGAATTTAAGTTAGTTGTTATTATATTTAATTTTAATTAATATTTATTTCTTTATTTTAATTTATTCTTTATTTTATTTTATTTTATTTTAATATATTTTTTATTTTAATTATTGTTATTTTTTATTTTAATTTATTTTTTATTTTATTGTAACCGTAATTATATGAATACCAATAATTAGTTTTCAATTAAACTAAAAACTAAAAAAAACTATCACAAGTCTTATTTCTCTATGAACTTTCTACTTTATATAATTTGATTAGAAATAATAATTTTATTACATTTTTTATTTTGTCGCATTTTTATTGTTTTACAACAGTAATTATATGAATACCAGTAAATGTATGAATACCAGTGATTACTTATCAATTAAAAAAATAATATTTTTATTTTATTTAAATAATTTGATCAGAATTAATATATTCATGCAAAGCTGACGTTCATAGTTGGTATAGTAACCGTTGAACGGCACTTGGTCGTCATAGTTCACATGTGGCTCGGGGGCTTAAATACTGCAGCTTCTGGAACCGTTTCTGGCTTATAGCCCACCTAGTTTGTCTCCTAACCCATGTATTGCTTTCGTTATTGTAGCCTGGGTTAGGATGTGAATGGGTAATGGTTGGGAAAGTAATTCCTTTAATATCTCCTGCTATAAAACTCACCTAAATATAAATATAAAACTCAGTAAAAATATATATAGTATATAGTATAATAGCTTAAGTTAATAAATATTATATAAAATTAAGAACTGTTAATTTTTTAGAATAACTATTAATTAAGAATAATTTCAGATCAATAGATTTCATGATATTGCTACTGCTAATATATATTAAGGAGGATAATTCAATGTATATTGAAAATATTGTAAGTATTTATTACAAACGTATATATTAGTATTTATTTAATAATTTTTAAAATTTAAATATAATTAAACTATGAAAATAACTCACTTCTAAATTATCATATACAGATTCGACGTCGTATTAAACTTGAGCACATTACTGTTGAAATCATTTTTGATATCTGTGACAAGTACGGCGTTGCACTGGAGAAGCTAACTAATATTTTAATGCAAATATTACATAATTTTCTTAAAGAAAAACACAAATCAGTAGTAAACTTTGCCAGAGCATCTTATTGGTAAATAATTGTAAAAATATTTATTTTTTATTTGTAAGTTTCATAATAAATTTTTTTTCAATTTTCTTAGTATACTATTTAAAATAGACGCTGCTATACAAAAGGATATTATAAAGAAATTATTAGAGCTTACATATGATAGATCTTTGCAGAATATGACTAATTTAGCTTTGGAATTACTGACGGACTTACATCGTGAATATGCTAAAGAAGTGCGAAATTGGGGCATGCTTTTATTGGTATTTTATATACACAAATTTTAATTATACTATACACAAATTATATATTATATTATTTTTATTATAGTATAGTGAAGAAAGCTCTCTTTAAAGGACAAAAATAGCATAAGCAATTCTATCCGATTTAGAGAACTAGCCGGAAAAAAGATTGTACTTTATATAAAAAATAAATACTAAGGTTCTACTTTCCGTTGTTAAAAGAAGATTGGGGTACTACATTGTATTGTTAGGTTAGGTTAGGTTATACCGGCGATCCCTGGTGGATCTACTTAGGCCAATTGGCCTATTGTGTTCATTGTATTGTTAAAAGAAAAATTAAAGTAGTCAATTGGGTATATGGTCCGGTGCTACTTTCCTTCCAAGTAATATATAATAATATTTTTATATTAAAAAGAAGAGACTTTTTTGAGTCCAATTGATCTTTGGCTCTCTACCATTAAAATGGTTAAATTTCTACGTCTTGACACATGTTAATTTCAATTAAAATTCTTTCCATCCTTAATCCATTTTTACTCTTAAACGACTCTGTGTGTTTATGCCATAATCCATTTAATAGAGTTTTCACTATTATATATATACATATATATATACCATAATATATATTTTATTGTTATATGTACCCAATAGCCTTTGATTGACCGTTTGAATGAAATGTCATTATCACAAACGCGTATGGTTATGAAGTTATTATGTTGTATAGCGTTTCCTGAGCCTGGATTCCATGAATGTACTCCATTGCAAGATCAAATTGATATGTTGGTCAAGAAACAATTGATAAGTCGTGTTCCATTGTAAGTAAAGTATTTAAACAATTTTAATGAAAAATCATTGAATATATATATCTTTTAGAATTAAAAAACAAGGAATCATTGGAGGTGTACAGTTGGTTGATAGCATTGCACGCGTTGAGAAAACTTATATTGAAATGGATGATTTGGAAACTACATTCAACACAGCCAGTGATTTACCAGATGGTCGTGGAAAAATGGCAGCAAATTATATTGGTAAAAGAAATCAATTAACGATTTTCAGCAGCTTAACAAATTAAAAAAAATAATTGCATGTACTATATTTGTCATTAGTTGGCAAATATAAATAAATTATAATCTATTCTCATATTTACAGAGCGAATACGTTCATCTATAATGCATTGTCCAGAATCGTTAGCTTTATTTTTTGATGAATTGGCTAGCATTTGTGTCGCTGGACCACATGATAATGCTAATAAAGGTTATCTTCTAGATAAACCGCTTGTTATATGGTTATGTGAAGTGATGACATATTACTTTCAAGACTATTTTATAAGCGAAGATACAACTGATAATATAAGGTAAAAATTGTATATTACTTAAATTTATTTTATAAATAATATTTACTGCTGTTATTATAGTGATATACAAGTTTCACTACAAAAGTGTTTGAATTCTCAAAATACAGAAACGGAGGAAAGTGAAGTTACTATGATTGCTATTAACATATCCGAAGCTGTATTAAAACCTTCTCATCAGTAAGTTATAGAGAATTCTTTAATTTTATTTATATAATTGATATAGTAATATTATTTTAGAGCTTTAAAGTCAGCCTTAGTATTAGCGCCACTTTTTAATTTCGTGCGTGTTTTGCATTTTATACGCTATGAGGGAAGCCTAATACAGATCAACGCTTTATTGGGATGTGCCATAATATTACCAACATTTTTTGATGATGTTAATTTTGAGAGCATATTTAGAGATTATGATGAACAAACTCAAAAGAAAATCTTGGATATATACTTCCACTGCGTCAATTGGATACGTGAAACTGTAAGCTCCTTTTCTACTCAACATGATGAACTAATAAAAAATCAGGTAAAAATTTTGTAGCTTATAATTGTGGCATTATTTCTGTATAATAAATATTTTAGGTGCTTATACGTTTGGCTGATTTAATACAAATTGAAGCAAAAGTACGCAGATTATTGGTAATTTGTCCAGTAGACTACATGCCACCTTTGTGTCAGTACATCACTGCGTATAGAAATGCAAATAGTGCCAATAAAAGTGGTGGTAATAACTAAATATTAATTATAATTTTTATATTAAGTATTAAAAAAATTATTTATTTTCTAAAACTACTTTCAAAGTTAAAAAACATATAAGTTTAAGACTTAATATGCCACATATCCTGTTTAATTTAATTTATGCGCCATGATATCTGGTAAATAAACCCTGGCTACTTAGTCAGAGGTCCCTTAAAATAACTAATGTTATTAGTTTTTAAGATTCTAGGTTAGGTTAGGTTTAAAATAAAAACGATTCAATAAAGAATAATTGTCAAATAAAAAAAAATATGCCATATATTGTAGGACGTAGAAGACCTGCAACAAATAATGCCAAAGGCGGCCGTAGTAGAAGTGGAACTCATCAAACTGAAACGGAAGCTACCATTTTCAATGAAACTAATGCTAACAATTTAACCGAAGCTGAGACAACAGCTAATTTGATCGGTTTGTCTAAACCTAAGACAATAAATAATAAAACAAATTTTAATGTACTATACAACGCCAAAGAAGTGTATAGGTAAATGTAACATTTTAAAAAATTGTTCTTATACTATAATTTTTAATATTATATAATTGTATATTTTAGACAAATGGACTCTAATGTTATGTTGATATTAAATGAAAATTTGAATATAAAATATCCTTTTCCAAATGAGTGTATTGGCAAAGAAATTGGTTTACCTGAGTTTCGCTTTTTATTAACTGATTTAGTTTATAAAGTGGAGTCCATCACTGGAGTACAGCAAATACAAACAGAAGAACACTTTCAGTATATTGCAAAGCCGTTTGCTTTTATATCCGATTTATCACAATTTTTAAAGAAAATTGTTAAAAATATGGAAATGGTAAAAAGATGATATAAAAGTTTTTTAATAGAGAGTAAAAGTGCTCAATTGCACTCACTCAACTAGCCGCAACATAATAATATATAGTTATTTAAATAATTTTTATTTAACTTACGAGTATTTCAACACATTATACTTAGTAATTATTACAAATATTAAATATAAATATTAAATATAAACTTTATAATTAAATGATATATTTTTGTAAATATTAAAAATGAAAAAATTTAACTTTATAATTTTTTTAGATATCATCTGCTATAACAAATCAGTTGGAAAAAGTTAATACTGTTTATAGCCATCCTGATCTTTTTACAGAAGAAATAAACTATCTCAAGGTTTGCCTTGGCTTGTGTTTACGCTTACTAAATGCATATTTTTCGTGGCCCGAATTTATAGAACCCAGAAAATCAGGCGTTTTGAAAGGTAATCTGGTTATATACATACACATACACTTTTAAATATTTTAAATTAAGAAACGTTAATATGCTTTCAGATTCTTTTGAAACGATTATTGGCAAATCTACAACACAATCATTAAATTTGGCAAAGGAAGTATTTGACAAATTGCTAAGTTATGAATATTCAGTTCTTGATTTAAAAGCTGCACTGAATTTATATCACCTGGTAGGGACTATAAAAAGTTTATCCAAGCCTGATTCAAACACAGATTTAATGGAAGAAATGGAAAAAGGCATACGTAAGATTTTTTAGTATTAACATGATAAAATAATTTTTTACTACAAACTCTACGGTGGGATTTTAAGGGTTCTTTTTAAAATCACTTGATATATAAACAAATAAATATATTAGTGAATAATCATCGTATATGTATTATAAAAAATTATTTCTATTTCTTTATGAAAATGGTTATGGGGCCATGATGGTGACAAATCTCCATTTAGTTGATGAGTGTAGATTTGAACGCAAAATAATGAAAAAATCAAATTTTATTTAAAAGAAATTTCTTAAGAAATATAGGGAACCTAATTCCTTATTCTTTTTTAAAATAAAAGTCTGAATCTACATACATGTATAAATTAAATACTTTCTAAAATACTTAAAATTAATTATAATTATTATATAATTATAATTATAATTATAATTATTATATAATTATAATTATAATTAATTAAACTCGTGAAGTTTCTTTGTATTAATAATATATAAATGATGTATTAAATATAAATAAAAAGTATCTATATACAAATAGGTTTTAGTGAACAAAATTAAAACAAACTATTATAAAATTTTAATAATTATCACATGAATTTATTTTCTTTAGACAACCTATGCCGGAACTTTCTGCAACGTAAATGGTTTCACTATGAGGGAAGTTTAGAAAAAGGTTCCATCTGTAATATATATTTAAATGAACTTGTCAAAGGATTTTTGAGAAACTGCACATTTAGTCGACAGAAAAAAATTTTAAACATAATTTCAAGGGATCTGCAACATTTAAATAGCAAAGAGGGAACACTTAAAGAGTTCCCCAACTTTAAGAAGTAAATATAAAAATAACATATATTAAAAAAGATCATTCATAACGAATTCACTTAAATATTTATAGAGCAAATTTTCCAATAATGTTTCGTGGTTGTTGTGAAATCCTACTGAGTTTTCTAAATGAGGCAATCTCCAATAATGAGATTGATTCCCATGATAAGTTGAAGAAATGGGAAAAAAGTTGTGATATATTAAATATGCTATTAAAAATAGTACAAACATTAGATATACCACGCAATTCATCTCTATTTTTAAAAGTAATATTAAAGATATATTAATTTATATATAGTAGTATTAAATAATATATCATTTATTTTTATTTCTAGTATGCTCATTTATATATAAAATTAGTACTACAACACGGTGTGATTGTATTGGAAGATTATTTACGTGGCGATACGGAACGTATAAGTGAATTTCTGAAAAGTTTACAAAATATAACGCGATATTTGCACAATCTTTGTTGTCATTCAAAGGTAATTTAATTAAATATTTTTACTTACAATTGCAATATTGTAAATTTGTTGTGATGTATATTGTTATGATAGACTAAAAAGAATTCAGCTATTGTCAATCAAATACCATTCTTACGTGAAACTGTGGAAAACTTAGTATTTCGCATTAAAGCCATATTAACTGGACATAAGTGTGCATCGGTGTTGAATATAAGTGTACTTAAAAATAAAGACTTGGATGGCGCTGAAATTCTTTCTCAGGTACTGTTTACACTTAATATTATTGAAAACATATATCTATAATAAATACTTCATATTGGTTTAGACTGTTTCCTTGACTTCTGCTAGTCGCGGCGATAGTGATGAAGAAATTCCAGAAGATGACTCTAGTGTAGAGGAAACAATACTTGGACAAAATGATATGCATGATACTACTCATGATGGGTCTACTTATCGAACGAGAAATCGTAGCAAATCAAATTCGCGTAGTAAATGTTATTAAAATGCTAAAAATTTATTACTGGTTAATAAAGATCTGAAATCTTGTAAAATTCTTGTCATATTTTTATAAAAAAAAAAACAATTAAACGATAGGAAAACATTATTATAAAAAATAAAAATGCAGATAAAAACTCCTGTCAGGTTTCAAGATCGATCGCATCCAAACTGGGCAATTAACGTATCAGTCAGCTGCTTTACCTTGCTCAGCACTACGTTATCACGGCTGACAGGTGACTGCATACTAAAAATACATTCTATATTTAGGGTTGTGGGTCTGCATATAAGGAAACAACTGCCTCATATGTCGATGTACATAATTGGTTGAGAGAAGCTTAAAAATCTTTGGGAAGCTTTATTTTACCGAGCTAAGTTTATAGACTTGTTATGTTTTTTAACTTCAACGAAAATGGGGGAATCATGCCTTTCAGCGTTGGCAACAGCGAACATCAGAGTTTCCATCAGAGTTCCAAGAATAACACCAAAAAGATACAGATATTATTTTTAATTACAATTATCTTAAATAAAAAGGAAATTTAACTACAGCATATTGTGAAAGACAACAACTTCTGTATCTTAACCTATGGTCAATTCCGTCCTCCCAAAATTTTATTAAGCCGCTATGTAAATTAAAAATAGGTCTATGGCTTATGTATCACGTTTATTAATTTAATTAAAATTAAACACGATTGCATATTATCAAAATATATTTTTATTACCTTTAGAATTATATACATATATAAATTTTTTGAATTTATATATAATATAAAATATATTTTGCAATTAATACTGTTGTATGTCATAATATTATAAAGTTTATAGTTTTAGTTTTAGTTTTATTAATTATATTCAAAATATATAAAAATCAATTATAATAAAATAATAATATTTACGAGTAGAAAATAAAAAGTTTGCTTTCATTTGTTGTTAATAAACAATCATAAATTTATTTAAATCATAAATTCATTTAGTATTAAACTAAATTTCTTATTATTCTTCTTATTCCGTCTTATTCTCTTTATTAAAAAATATAATTTCTTCAATGACAATTCAACTTATGAATTATTTCTGTTTAATTATAGCTAAATATATATAAAATTATATTTATATTTAATTTTGATTAAATTAACTATAAAAATGAAAAATGGAGATACAAATGTGATTGGTACGTCTTCAAAATAAGAGTCCAATATGATAGAATAAAAGATTTAAATCTTTTTATTCGCTATATTATTTAAAGTTTCTGATATGTGTAAGTATTTTAGTAGTTTGGTCTTCAATTGAGCATTTTTGCGCTGCAAGGCTTGCTCTTCCATTTTTTCTGCCTCTTCACGCTGGCGGCTTCTAAAACGTGATTTACGACAAGCTTCGTTATTTTTATAACGTCCTTCCAAGTATTTGCGTTCTCTCGTACTAAGTCGTGCCAGATATGATGGATCTGGGCGAGCGCTGTGTTCCTTGCGAGGTCGTCCACTTTTTTTTTCCTTATTACTAGGCGTTGTTGTAACGAATGAGGCGGAGGAATTAGTTTGTGTAGGAGAGTTTGGTGCTGTTGAGAAACCAAACTTTACGGATTGACTTATATCGAAAAAATTATAGCTAAGTGTTGTGTCCTGTGATTGATCATCGTTGTAGTTACTAGTCAAATCAACGGTGTTATTACTTTCTGTAGTTATAGTTTCCAGAGAGCTAAAGGATGAATTACTATCACTTAACATAATAATTTCACTTGCATTTGAAGCTGGTAAATTGGGCTAAATGAAAAAAAAATTAATTTATTAGTAATTTTTTAAATTTTAGAAAATTAACTTTATTTATAAGTACCATAAGAAATTGTCCAAAGGGGCTATTGGTATAGTTATTTATTTTTTATTTATTTTTATATTTATTGTTTAAAGTAAATAATTTACTTTATAATTGTTAGATATGTAGTTATACAGGGATTTAGCTGGTTGGACCTTTTATAAATATAATATTAATAATTAATATACTAAGATTGTTTATTTTTTTGTTTTTAAGATTTTTTTTTGGTAAATTTTTCTTTAAATTTAAGGCTTAAATTTAATTTTATTTAATAAAATTAATAAGAATAAATAAGTTTTTTTGTAAATTTCACTCTAAATTTAAGTATTAAATTAAATTTTATTTAATAATATAAAACAAATAATAAATTTGGTTTTTTATTTTATTATTTATTTTGAATTTTTTACTTACTATAGATCTAAACAGGGAGGTTTATTCACTAAGAGGTCTAAGCACAAAAATTCTTGTATAACTATATAAATTAATTTTTTTTACTTTTAATAATAAATAAATAAATAAAATATAAATATAAAAAATATAAAATATAAATAAGTATATCAATAGCCTTTGAACTATTTGAACTATTATTAATTTATTAAATAAATATATTTTTAAACTTAAAAAAAAATATTTTTTTTCTAAAAATAAAATAAAAAAAATATTTTTTTTTAAAAAAAATAAATCGATTAGAGAAAATGTAAGATAATTTTATGACAATTATTAATATACAGTGTAAAATTATATATTATTACTGTTCAGTTGTTGTTTTTATATAATCTTGTTAATATAAATAAATAAATTAAGATAAAAGATAAAGTCAATAACCACCTCTGCACTGCCTTCTAATGAAGTCTTCATATCATTGGGTGCGTTTATGTCCTCTGTAGCTATTAATGTGGGTTGCTTCGTCGTTTCTAAAGATAGTCGAAATTTCTCCCAGGCCACAAATTCTTTATTCATGTAGCTAATAGATGAGGTGGTTGCTATGTAAGAAATAAAAATAAAATAAAGTTTTGGTTATTATATGTTGGATTTAGTTATTTTATTTAAAAAAACACGTTTTTTGCTGAACCTTTTTTATTATTAATTTTACAATAAATTTTGTATTAGTTTTAATATAGTAATAACTTTACAGCTAATGCATATTTTTCTTTTTTTAATTTTTTATATTAGATAATATATGTATTAGTATATGTAAAAATAAAATTTTATAAAATACAATTTAATTAATTAATCTTAAATTAAATTAATGTGTTATACGAACTATATATGTTGTTTTTTTTATTGTAGAAATCATATATATTTTTTAATTTTAATTAATATAAAAATTCATAATTTTATATAAAATTTTTACTACCACGATTTAACGAATTAACTATTTCTTTGTACTGATAACAATAGGCCTTAATAGACCACTATAGTCCTTATTTTAAATGTAGATTAAATAACCCTACTAATAACTAGAGTATATATAAATGTGTTTGGTAAATCCCCCAACTAAGAAGTCAACATGTTAAAATGTCCTTTTATTCGCAATATTATTTAGTGTTTCAGCTATATGCGAGTATTTGAGGAGTTTGATCTTTAATTCTGCATTTATATGCTGCAATCTTTCTTCTTCCATGATTTCTGCCTCTTCAAGTTGTCTGCGCTTGATACGCAATTGCCGACAAGCTTCATTATGTTTGTAACGCTTTTCCCAGTATTTACGTTCTTTCTCGGTAAGCTGTGCTAAATATGAGGCATCGAAACGATTTCTATGTTTTGGGAAAGGTCGACCACGTTTCGGTCTGTTACTGTAGGATTTTGCTGTCGTGTTAGAGGTGGAGGTACTATATAGTGGTGGGGAGTTCCGCATTCTTCTAAAATTAGCGAATGACGTTTCATTCGCTTGTAAGGAAGTACAGGTTAGCTCTGAACGGTAGGATGAACTGCTATCACTAAGTAGAATAAATTCACTTGTACTTGAAGTTTGTTTCTTGGACTGTATGGAATAGAATTATTTAAAGAGTATGTTTATATTATTGAAGATAAAATGTCTTATATTTACTTAAGAAAATTAATTTTATATATAACATAACAACTATATATATTAAAACAAAGGTGTAAATATATACTACCAATGCCATGTGTTGTTTTCTTATAATTTTATTAATATGATATTAGTGTATATATGTATATAAAATATAGTCAATTACCTTCGCACGTGTTTCTGAGAAAGTGTTGATATCATCGGGTATTATTATGTTATCGGTTGCTGTGAGTGTGGTTTGCTTCTTGAGGTCTACGATTAGCCTAAACTTCTTTCGTGCCACAAAATCTTTATCCGTGCAGCGAGAGGATGAGGTAGCTATGTGGTAAAAAAAAAATGTTTCAATTATTTTATATTGGATTTATCAATTTTATTAGTAAAACACAGTTTCTGTATAACAGTATGTTTATAGTTATTTTTATTATTAATAATTTTTATGTGGTTATGATAATAATTTTACAATCCATTTTTATTTTGTAAATTTTCAAGTAAATATAATTGGTAATATGTATTTGTATAAGAAAAAACAAATTTTAATAATATATTAATAAGTTTTACAAAAAATCGCTGAAATACATATTAAGTTTTTTTTTGTTTTTCTTTTTTTCATAACTTTTTTGCTTATAAGTCATATAGGTTTCAATAAAATATTTATATATATATATATATATATTATATCATCATTTTATTAATCAACTAATTACTTGCAATTATGGAAATGAGATCCATAATAAAATATACTACATATGGAAACGAAGTCCCTCTATGAAATGTGGATTCAACTTTGCCAATAATAGAAGTAGATACAATTGTGGATGGTATGTATGTACACCTTCCTATAGAGAAAGCAATAATATATTAATATGTGATATTTAAGTTTTCCTATTCAGTATGCCATTTAGTGCTTCTGCTATGTGTGAGTATTTCAATAGCTTCATCTTCAAATCTGCATTTTTCTGCTTAAGTTCTTGTTCTTCCATAATTTCTGCATTTTCAAGCTCCCGGCGTTTGCGTCGCAATTGCCTGCAAGCTTCATTATTTCTGTGACGATGTTCCAAGTATTTACGTTCTTCCACATTAAGGTGTGTCAAATATGATAGATCTGGCCCATCACTATAATGTTTGAAAGGTCGTCCACGTTTTCGTTTCTTGCTGCAATGCTTTGTTGTCGCATTTGTGGTGGGATTACTACATGGTGAGGGGGAGTTTAGTGCTGTTGTGAAATCAGTGAATGAGGTTTGATTTGTATGGAAGGATGTGTGGCTTAATATTGAACTGGATGTATTGCTATCGGTGAGCAGTATAATTTCATCTGTATCTGAGGTTCGTATCAGACAAGGCTGCAAGGAAAATAATTTTTAGTAATTATTTTTTGCTATTAAAAAGATAAATTTTTTTTTATTTAAGTAAGTTACTATCTATATAGCTACTTAACAACAATTCAAGTTAAAATACAATAACAAATTTATACATCGAATGCCCCCCGATTTTGTTTAAACTTGTCTATAACAGTACGTCTACAAAAACTAAAAGTACTTCTCATTACCTCGACATTAATTTCTGTTAAAAAGTTGATGCTGTCGATGGTCTTATTAATGTCGCCTGCAGTTGAGAATGTCGGTTGCTCCGTAGTATCTAAGGATAGCCTGAATTTCTTTTGGACCACATATTCTTTTTTTGTGTGACATGTGAATGATGTTGTTATGTTATAACATGAAAGAAAAAAAATAAAAGATAGTTTTAGGTTTTTTGCATCATGTTTATTAATTTTATTAAAAAAACACGATTTCTGCATAACAATTGCATAATAATAATTATTTTTTATTAATTTTACAATCAAATATATGATGTTCATAATAGTGTTATTTGTAAACATTTTATAACTAATACATTTTTTTTGTTAATTTTAGTTTTTGCAATAATATTTAAAATTTTTAAAAGATAAAAATAAATTGTAATAAAATATAAAAAATTATAAGAGCAAAAAAATGCAGCGTTTTTCTTATATAAAATGAACGCGCATAAATAATATTAAACTTTTTAGTTTTTTTTCTTTTTCCATAATTTTGTTAATAAATCATATATAGATTTTTAATAAAATATTTGTATATATAATTTTATAAACATATATTGTTTGCTACAATTATTGTAGTACTAAATATTACCATTAATTTTAAATATATATTTTTTCACATTAAAACAACAACATTTAAATCAACTGCTAAACTAAGTACAACAACTTATTATGTTGCGAATGTTGTATTAATCACAACTACGGTAATTCAACTTATTAATTAATTATTTTAAATTCTAACGACTTATGACGAAGAAATCCTTATATTAAATGTTATTTAAATAAACTCTGCCAGTAACTGAAATAGGTACAAATGTGGTTGGTACTTCCCCCAAATGAGAGTCCACCAAATACGATAGAATGTTGTGAAATTTATGTTTTTTGCGCAAAGTGCTTTTCCTTTACTATGCCTTTAAGTGCTTCTACAATTTGTGAGTATTTCAGGAATTTGATTTTCAATTGTGCATTTATTTCCAGCAAGTTTTGTTCCTCCATAATTTCTGCCTCTTCACGCTGTCGGTTCTTGAGACGCGATTGTCGACTGGCTTCATTATTTTTGTAACGATCTTCCAAGCGCTTACGTTCATTCTCTGAGAGTCTTGACAAATGTGATGGATCTGGTCGATCGCTGTGTTGTTTGGAAGGTCGGCCTCGTTTTCGCCTGTTACTACAGTGCTTTGTTGCTGCGTTTGAGGTGGAGGTGCTTGATGGTGTTGGAGAGTTTGGCACTGTTGTGAAACCAGCAAATGAGGTTTGATTTGTATGGGAGGATGTGCAGCTAAGTGGTGTGTAAGGCGATTGATCATCATTGAAATTATTAGTTAAATCACCAGTGCCACTTATTAATGTCGCTCCATCCACTGAATGGAAGGATGAATTACTATCACTGAGTAGATGATTTATAATTTCACTTCTATTTGATGTCCGTATGTTAGGCTGAAAAGAAAAATTATTCATTTTTATTAACTGTTTAATAAAATTAAAAATAAAAGCTTTTAAAGTTAAGCTAAAGAAAGTTAACTTTATATTTCATCACAACGATTAAAATTAAAACAAAAAAAGAAATGCATGTAACCAGTGTCCCCCCTTGTTTTCTTATCTAATCTATAAAGTGCGTATATATATTAAAAAAAGTACAGCTCATTACCTCGCCACTCATTTCTGATAAGAAATTGACGACATCGGGCGTTTTCATGTCCTCTACTGGGTTGAATGTGGGCTGCTTTGTGGTGTCCAAGACTAGCTTACGCTTCTTTTGGGCGATAACATCTTTATTTGTGGAGAGATTGAATGAGCTTAAACGTTTCAAACCACTATTGCCACCATTGCTGCAGCTGGGAGTACATTTTGTCTCGATTTCATCTGTTTCTAGATACATTTTGTCTTCTAACATAATATCGGACAAAATTTGGCTAGTACTTAATCTACAGTATGGATCATATTTGAGTTCTTCAAGATCTGGCAGAATTGGTTCACAATGACTGACTATTGCGGAAAGTGATTGACTATTGCTATATGAGTTGGAGCAAAGCAATGGATTATGTTGGGAACTTTGAAAGAATTCTGAAAGTGGCATATCATTTCTTGCCTGTTCCTGACTAAAATCAATAGCTTCTTCATTTGATGTTAAACTAATAGAATCATTTATGTCCAAATCAATGGTATCATCGCTGAATGTGATCAGTTCATTAGTGGAATTAGGTGGTAAATGATATTGCTGCTCCAAATCCGATTCTTTGGGCTCTTCTTTAATTTCGTCACACCAGTCAATAATGTTCTCTAAGTTAGAATTAAAGTTGTTGTTGTCAAATTCAATGTTGTTGTTGTTGTTGCAAATGTAATTGCTCATATCAAATTTATTATTGTTTGCAATTGAACCAATGTTGTTGTCAATGTGTGCGTTGCTGAACATTTGCTCTTCAAAACTTTGAGCAATCATGTCGATATCAAAATCAAAATTTTCAAACGTTCCGTGTTCTTCGATTAAAAAATCGTTTCCGTTACCGTTGTTACTATTATTAGGTTGATTGTTGTTGAAAGTATTACTTGTTGTTGTAGTTGCTGTTGTTGCTACTGCATTTGCTGCGTCTGTAAACGTGGGCGATGATTGTTGTAGGTATTCTATAAAATTTAAAAAATATATTAGTCTTATTTTTATTTAAAAATTATTTCAAAAAGAAAAAAAGTCCATTTTCATGATTTTTTACGAATTATTCGAATAGAACTTTAGTGCAAAATTTTTCAGAAATGAAATTTATGAGAGAAAAGTAGTAGCAGCGCAATATGTAGCAGATTGTTGCTCCAATATATATTCGATATATATTACACAAGAATATTATGAAAATTGAGTTATAACTAAAACGAAGATGTAAACATTTGGACTTTCATTGTAATAGAAACGACTTTTTATAATTCCAAGAGATGAAATATGATTCTAACTTACCTCTATTTGGTATAAAGACAAATTATTATTAATGATATATGGATAAGGTGAACAATGCTTATATTGTAGCGATTGATAATTATATTTAATTTATTATTAAATAACAAGAAAAAATAAATATAGAAATAATATTAATTAAAAAATAATAAAAATTAATTGAACCAGGCTTATGATTAAATTAATTAATTTATTGTTTTTTAATTACTAAAAAATAGTATCTAATTTTTTAATAAATAATAATAAATATATAAAACCAAGTAAATGTTTTATAATATATAATAATTACAGACTTAATTTTCATAAAATATACTATATCAACACATATTAATAGCAAATAAATATAAAGAATAATAAATAAATAAAATAAATGTAAATAATAAATAAAATAAATTATAAATAAAATGTATTCAATTTATATTTTTTAATACATGCATTACTTGCTTTATTCAATAAGTGAACAATATACAATATAATACATAATAATAAATATTTGAATAAAATAATTTATAAATTATATTTTAACCGATCGGTTATTTAACACTTAAGTTGTAAATTGTTTTTTTTTTGTACTAAAGATAGTATATTTGTACAAAAAATATTTTTTAAAAATATACTAAAAATTTAATGGTTAAATAACCGATCTTAAGCCCGGCAGAAATAAATTTTATTGATATATAGGTCGATATAACAATTAATTAAAAATAAATTAAGTAATATAAAAAAAAATTTTTATTTTTGAATTTATGAATAAAATCCGAACAAATAAAAAAATTAATATTGTATTTTAAACCGGTAAGGCAAATAGGTCACAACAGTGATCCTATGGATTGGTCTGGTGACACTATAATGCCGTATAATATTTTAATTAAAATTAAAATAGTAGACAAAAGGAACGAACTACTATTCAAAATATGATTTTTCTTGTAATAAAAAAAAATTATTTAAAATTCATTGCATAGTTTTTGGCAAAGCTAAGATTTCTTCAAAAATTGTGAAATTCTCAGGAATTGAAATACGAAGGAAATAAAAAAAATAAAAAACGATAAAATATTGTATAACAAAGCATGTAAGTAATTAAGGAAAACTAAAATAAAGATAAAATAAAGAAGACAAAATAAAAAAGACAAAATAAAAAAGATAAAATAAAGAAGACAAAATAAAAAAGACATAATAAAAATAAAGTAAAAAAACGATAAAATAAAATAGAAAAAAAATAAAAAAGACACATAATATGTAAAAGATAAAATAAAAATAAATAAAATACAGTGGAAATTCTCTTGAGTGGAAACTTGTCATTTAACTTTTGTTCGTTTAAAGAGGGGTAATTTGATAAAAAAAAAAGGGGTAAATAAGAAATATTATAAAAAACAAACGTTTGTTTTAGAAAAATTGATCACCCAAGAGGGATGTCCATAACTAGAATTTTCACTGTATAAAAATTATAAAATATTTCATAGCATACAAAATAACAAATTAGCAATTAATAAATAAGCAAAATATGAAAACAAAATAAAATATGATAAAAATTCAAACTTTGCAAATAAACAATAAATATTGATGCATAAGAGAATAAAATAAATAAAAATTTCATTAAATTAACACATATGAATCAATCGCGTATACATATAAAGAAAATGAAATAAAAATCAAATAAAACAAAATAAGTAATATGATACAATAAAAGGAAACTAAAAAAAATTATAAATTTTATTTTATTAACACAAATAATGAAAGAATAATGAAATAAATAATGAAAGATATAAAGGAAAAACCAAAATAAAAGCTAAAAGACGAGTAGAAAGTGGAATAAAAGGTATTAGATATAGTCGCCTTATGTTATCATTTTATGCGGAAGCATACTTCCAATCTTTTATTATTTTATGTATTAAAATAATTAACTGTTTTTTATTAAATATAGCGGTATAGTAAATTATTAAAAATTTTAATTTACATTCAAATTGATTTAAAGTTGAAAAATGTTTTAATAGATTTTCAGTTATTAATTAAAATAAAATTACAATAATTCTCGTAAAATAGATTTAAAAAAAATATCGATAACTTCTTGTATTTATCCGAGAAGTGTGTTTAATTATGGAACTTTGTTTAAAATATGACTTTATAAATTTAAAACTCATATTTAAAATAATTAAAATGAAATTTAAATTATTTTAATTTAAAAGTTATTATTTATATCAAATAAACAAATGGCGCAAATTATCATCAACACTAACACCAAAAAAACGTATAAATATTGTCGTGGCACTACTTTTCTTCACAAACATGTTTCGACATGAAAAGTGTGAATTTCGTACATGAATTCACATATTGTGCTTTGTTGGTAATTCAACGATAAATGAGTCATAACAAATAATTTCTTTTTCTATGTTAAGTTTATTTGCCGGTAGAGCCGGTATAAAATAAGGGGTAAACCTACTCTCTATAATCAAATGTTAAAGAAAAAAAAAGATAAACGTCGAGTGGAATGTAAGAACACAAAAAACAAAAAAAATAAACACAAATCTTTTTTGTTTTTCTCACATTGCGCTCAGAGCACACGCCAGTGCTAGTCGCCCGACACAAGACACAAAATTGTGCAAGATTGAACATGATTTTGATTTAGTTGCCATTCAACATAAAGCACTCATACGTACTTCGGCAATGACACTACATAAATTGAATGTGTTTTGTTAAATACGATGGAGGTATGTACGTACGACTGTTTTTGCTTTCATAGAAACAGCTGACTTAGTTTGCCTTTCTGTTTGGCATACAAACAGAAAAAAAAATTAACAAACTCTAAAATATTGTTATATTTATGTTTTTGTATTTTATTAAAAATTACAGTTTGTTTTCCCTTTATTTTTATTAAATAAATATAATATTTTAATAATAGACAAAATTTATTTTTAAAATTTTAGAAGCCCGCTGTCGCCAATTCCTGCTAAAAACAGAAGGAAAAAAAAATTTAGAACAAATAAAGGTTGATACATTTCAATTTCGCACAATTTTCATTTCGTTTGAAACTATTATTTTATTAAATATATATTATAAAAATATATAAACAAATAAAAGAAATGCATACCGTATCGTCTCCCAACTAAACACTGTTAACTCTGTGAAGGCTTAACACAAACTGCTTCAGTCGACACCGAAACACGTTGATTTAAAATAAAGCAAAGCAAAACTAATTCTCGGCATTAACAGAGCGCCACTAAAAAGTTTGTATAAGCACGCATTGAGTGCTTTTGCATTTGCTCTTTGCAAAAACAGAATAATGAGTAAAAAGTAAAGAGAAAAGAAGATGAGCGCATCTATCATATAACTGTAGCGATCTCTGTTTGGGGTCTACAGCTGTTAATGTGGAGTAGCACTTGATTTGATTTGATTATTGTGGTCTCTTTTTGATCACAAAATTATTAATATAATAAATAAACGAAAAGAGTCAACAACAAATACAATACTCAAAGAAAATGAGATGTGCTTAGCATAACAGCAACAGTGGTTTTTTGAGATGCCACACATATGCAAGTACATATATCATAAAAATCAGATCAAAATATGTTATGCGTATCGTTTAACATGTGTAATTTGTTGAGTTTGTAGTGTTTGATATACAAACATATATATACAAAAATTTGATGCATTTGTTTCTTTGTTTTGTTAATTTTTTGAGATTAACAGTTAGCTATATAGGCTCAGCAAGTGTTAAATCTTACTGTTAACGATTTAAGTGAGGAAATTACACTTACTCGATCTTTTAAAATAATATAAATATGAGATTGGTAATAAACTGATTTTAGTGGACAAGGAAAAACGGGACAACAACAGGTGTAGATCAAAACTAATGTGAAATGAATAGAATATGCATGCATACATGTTTATGTATAATTTAATATTGGCTGTAAAGTGTGGATAAGAGAGGCAAACACACAATTGACAAACATTTTCATGTTTTTTGTAGTAATATATGTAACTGTAAAGATGCCTTAACATTTGTTCTAACATTAATTATTTCACCACAAAGTAGGCATGTAAGGCAATACATTTTTTTGTTTTTAAGAAACGAATTTTGATAATGCAAAAAAATATATCTGCTAATGTACCAAATTAATATATTAAAATAAATTTTTTTACATGAATCTGTCAATATTAATTAATATCTTTTTAAACAAATTTGTTTTACCTGAGTTTACGTCGAGTAATTTAACACTCAAATTATTGATAAGTAACAAATAATTTTTGATAAAATTTTTTAATATATTTTAAAAAAACAACTAGTTATGGGTGAAGTCTCATTAAAAATTTTAACTTAACTTTAGTTAGCAATGGTCGTAAAATCTCTAAATAATTAGAATTAAAGTAGTAAGCAAGAAAATAGAAATACTTTAAAGAAAAACTAACTAACTATTAATCAATTCTTGTACATAACAGAAAAAAAAATATTTTTTTTAAAATTTAAATTCTTAAACCTTCAGTTTTTATATACGATAGGTAACACAATGAGCCAATAGGCCTAAATGGATACTTAGGATCGGCGATATAAACTACCTAACAGTGATGGAGAATAATGAGAAAAATATTAAAATGTTTTTTTTTTTTTAAATAATTTTTTGCTATAAAATTATAAATGGTCAGTTATAATAGAACATGGATAAATGCCTGTCACTTAAATGCGACA